GTTTCTAATTACAGTTACAATTATGCATATTTATTAGATAAATGTTCAGGTTCAAATCGAGCCACACCAAGGTGCAATGTTGTATGGACAAAGAGTTATCTATTATTTTGTTCTTTTCAATTAGAAAACGTGTGAGGTAGTTTTAATATCTTTTGATCTTAGTATTCATCACACTATGTATTCACATTTCTTCATCTAGAATTGCAATTACTAACTGTAACTGCAGGCAAAACTACAATGAGACACTCCTTGATTTAACAGTTTCATAAACAAATCTTGATTTTTTTGGTAGGAGTAGTAGTAAGAATAATTAGGTAATTATATTTTGTGTAAATTTTATCTGATCTTTTTTAATTCCGTTTAAAATTTCAATTTCTAGTAAAATTTAACTATCAAAAGTTGGTTAAAATCGTCCATTCGGGATATTAATTTTTGATTAAAGTTGTCCAGTTTTCGATAAAATGTTCATCAAAGGTTTTTCTAAAAAATATGCTCCTGTTAGGAGTTGTTGAATTTTAATGGTGGCTTATTGAAAATTGAAAAGTTCTACATTTTAAACAAATTGACATGAATAACTCAAATGCTTTGCATTTCAAGTAATAAGGACTTATCAACCTTATATTGACGATTTTAATTCGAGTGGTTATGTTCAAGGTGCTTTAATACAATTGGAATTTATATTATAATTAAAAAGTTATTACACAAAAGGAATTTGCTTTTTCAATATTTGGCAATTTATTTTCTTATTTCTTAATTATAAATAATTTCTGTTACTTCATGTCAATTTACAACTTGTTGGGTTCTTGTTATTAATATCATTGAAATTATTACATGTATCTGCCTATAACGCCTGAAAAACGGAGCAAGAAGTCTATGTCACGATTTTTCATTTATGAAATGCTAAACGCCTAACGGGAAATAATTTACAATCTTGGAAGAACGTTGTTGTAATTTTGCTGATTTCAGACATGCACTGATGATATAATGAATTGTTTAACTCACGATCATGAAACAAGTGAAAGTTGTTCTACAAAAGTTTGATTCGATATTGTAACATACAAAATGTGTATCTGTATTAATAAAAGACGCCAGATAAGATTACTGCCTTCTTTAATTAAATTTAATACGAGAAACTCAGACTTTTTCCTGGGTTCCACTTACCGCGTTAATATAAAACGAGGAATCGCAGAACTCTGCAAACTCCACTCGTATTTAGAAGAGAACAGGTGTGTCCAATAAGAGTGTTGAAATTCCAACAAGAATGTCGTTTGGTATTTATTACCTCAAATCAGTTGTTTTTAATCTCGTGAGAATTTGTTGGATGTACTACCTACATCAAGAATAATTGCCTTTTTCTTGAAAGGCCTTTAGGTGTTTTAGTTGATTCCTTTTTTGGTGTTATAATATTTTTCGATTTCTATTTCTATTATAATTTTACATGATATGTATTGTATTATTTCTAACTTGTGATAACGATTCGTCTGCATGAAGCTACCAGTTAAGATACAGGAAATTCACCCAAGCAAAATGCCAGCTTGTTACGCTCACGCGATTTCTCGCAAGTTTGCCATTACTAAAGCGTCAAACGATGAAGAGCATTTCTCTTGTAATGAAATTTAAAATAAAAAATATACGTATACAGTGCTTATCTTAAAAAAATTGAGCCTAATGTAATAGAAAATTGCTTTCTTATTTTTTTATTCTAAGTGTTAACCTTTAGTTTTATTTTTGGTGGTTACCATTGTAAGCTTAGTAGCATTAAATTATTACTATTACCATATTTTACTTCTGCATCTTAAATTATAATTTACTAGTGTCGGATTTCACTGATATTGCCTAAGTATATTATGAGTAAGATTTAATATAATTTCGGTAACGGTTATTGTAATATAAGCTAAACATTAAGCAACATTGACTCAAATACCTAAAAATTCATTGGTTTTAAATGGAGAATATTTCCAAATTTATTATTTTACATGAATATTTTCTTTGGCCTCATTTTCAGCATTCAAAGTTTTTTAACTTATGTGAATTTTAAAAAAGACCTGTATTTTCCAACAAACTTTTTACAGCCACTATTCGTACTTTGGAAGCAGTTTATTTAATATAAAACTAAATAAACAACAAATCCTCGTTAAGCTATGAATATTTAGCTTTCACACAATAAATTTTAGTCACGACATGAATTATTACATGTTGTCTTATTTAATTCATGAGATTCTTCATTAAAATTATCTAACCTGTTATGACTTGAGTTGAGAAATTTTGATTGTGAGACCGTCAAAGCAGTAGCGAATTTACAATTGACAGATGTTATGAACTTGCTTTTGAACATTTCTCCTTGGATTTCTACATTAAATATGTCAATGGAGATACTTGTCTTGAGAAGTTTATTATGAATTTTATTAGCTTTCACACGAAACTTGTTCAAATCTACGGAAAGCTTTTATTTTTGTTCTTACTTGTTTTGGAACAAGTATCCCTTTGAGATTTGAGATAATGAAGACATTTTAAATTTAGCATTTTAGCAAATTACAGGAAGAAGAATAATGATAGTGTTCATGCAGGTATTCAGTTTGATTAAAATGAAGAAGTGCATTTTTGCATGTCTTGACATTTGGAAACTAGGCAAATATTTTTAAATGGGTATACACGTAAAGACAGCACTGGCATTAAGTAAAAGTTGTTGGAATCTGAGAACGTTATCCGCCTGACCTATTCCTTATAGCATTTAACATTTCGATAGCTTAATAAAGCCCTAAATGAAAGCGAGACATTTTACAGCAGCAGAGCGTTGTCCTCTCGGGAATATTCATATTGGTAATAATATTTGGGATTGTAAACATTGATTTGAAACTGCAATATCAGTTTAATTAAACATTATATCGTTTAATAATAATTACTCTAAAATTTGACAATATTTTACTAACATGCCTGAATATTTCTGTGAATAAGAAAAGTTCTCATTTTCTAATTCTTAACTACAGGAATTTATGTTTTCTAGCGTCTTAAACAAACGATATATGGTGGTGAAGTTTAATGTGTGTACTTATTACCGTTTCTGTTGTTTCATTTCTAATAAATCCTTAATTTACAGCATCTACCTGTTAGATAAATTATGATTTTAATTCAAAACTGCTGTTTGGGAATTGGGTACAATAAATCTGTTCATTCCAAACAATAACAAGCGTTACTGAATCTGGATTTATTGGTAGCTTTCAATAAAAATATTTGTTCATCAAATTAAGCAAACATTAATTCAGTGATTTTGTAATGTTTTTTTTCAAACAGATGCTGTTTAATCAATATTATAGCTAAATGACCGCATCTTTGTCGCGACCAACAGATTATTTTTATTTGTTTAAAAAGTAAGTAAGATCAATATTTTCTTATTCTCAATGTCACCGATTATTTCATTCAATCATCCAAAGTGGTCATTTTTCTAGACAAACTGATAAATTTAAACGGAGACGGAATTCTTATAGAAATTCTATCACAAAAATAGTTCACTCAAATATCTTTTAGAGCAAACAGAAAATTTTATAAGGAACCTATTTTTAGTTTAAAGTACATCCATACTGGAGTTAGGAAAACTATAATTATATAAAACGACACAACTACTAGTTATAAAGTTTACGACACCATGTTAAACCAACATCAAATGTGTGCGTAGAAATAATAGCGAGAATATAGAAAATACACGAATTCAATTTTAAAAATTGCATAAATAAGAGGTAAGTAGCTACAATAAAATTAACGTAACGTGTCATACTCATATTTATTTTTTAAAATATATTTGTATTTTTATTATAATTAATTTAAAATTTAATACCTTATGCGGTCTTTATTTATAACATAATTTCAAATTTTAGTTTAATTTTTTAGTTATAAAAAATGTTTTTATTAAAATGCTTAGATTTTTTGCTTCAGGCACACATAAATTATAATATTGTACACACATACGTAACGTAGTCTGGCATTAGTTGGATGAAGAGATTTAAATATTTAAATACTTTGAATGTAAATTTAATGTTTCCCATTGAGTAAAAGGTTTATGTTTTTCAAGGATCCATCTTCTTTAATTTGTATAAAATAAGTTCAAAGAGAAAATTCTTACAAACAAACTTTGTTAATTATAGTTTGTAAATTATAAAAGGATAAATGCTCCGCCTCTCTATAGATTTAATTGATGAGATCGTAAGTCATAGTCACAAATTTAGGTTTTTCTGTTAATAATAATAATTCACATAAATAGTTATTATAAAATAAAATGTGAAAGCGTGCCTAATGGGCCAATGAATTTGAAATTAATAACTGAAACATTGGAAACATCGTGAGATCATGGAAAAGAAATATTTTTAATGTAATTCTGATTTACAAAGTATTTATCTACCTAACGATTTATAAACAATAATTCCAATTTATAAAACTTTCCCCTTTTGTTCAGATAGAAATTGTAAATATGAAGAGATTGACAAGAAAAAGCATTTATTTGCTAGTAATTAATTCAATATGAGTACGATTAAATTCTTGTGTAACCTAAATACACTATTAGCCATTGCAAAACGCCAATTAGCAATTTTTCAAAATAATTGCTATAGCCTCAAAACCTGTGGCACCATTGTGATTTACCTCAAATCGGTAATTGCCTAGAAAGTCAAAGAGAAGAAGATACGTAATTTGATTCTGCGAATGCAGTTAATCCTGCTCAGAGCTGGCCGTTGTCACTATAATTTCAAACTAAAGAAAGCTATCTTCAGTCAATGAAGTATATCTGAAGCTATTCTTATATGTGAACGGAAATCAGTGAGAGTTGTCTTAGTCGAAAGTGGTTTAAGGAGAGTCTTGACCCTTGCGTTATTCCACGTTTTGAAAGTCAATAATTTTCACATTATCTGGCGTGCACTAAGATCAACCCAACAACCGGAAATCACATGAAAATCTTGTCAGTTGTGTATCCAGTATAATGCTTAACACTAAATTAATTTATTTCGTTGCAGATTGGATTGGATCGGGGGCTTAATCTACGTTAGAGAGACAATTTAAGCCCGGATTTCTGCATCATTTTGTCCATGCAATTAAAGAAGTAGGATATGTGTTAAATGAATGGGCTTTTAAGTAAATTATTGCCAATAGTGATTTTAAATTCGAAAAGAGAAATTCGGTGCGGTTTAAAGTACTTGTGCCATGAACCCTGAATGTAACTAGCTTTGTCCTCTGAGCAACGTCATACAACTGCTTCGACATGGAGACTGAAGAACTCATCAAACTCGTTGATGGAATTTACAAGGTAAGTGGGATTGTCCTCTGTAATTAGTTCAATCGAATTGAGTTTAAGCAGGTTTAGATTACAACGGATGGTCTGTTTGCCATCAATAGTTGATTTAATTATTTTGTGGAAGTTTTTATTTAATTATTGATTTAATCAATGTTTTTTCTTTGTTTCTGTTGAATTATTGGAATTCATGTAGCATTAATTTCATTCAAATTTAAATGTGTTTATTGTTCAATTATTATTCAAAATTTTAATTTAAAATACAACTTTAATATAGAAAATATTATGGACCTCATGATAAGTCGGATATCTTTATTAAAAAATGCTCTTATGAAAACGCGAATAAAAACTACAAACCATTTAATTTTCTAATACTTTGTCTCTGGTGACTCTAGTTTACGTTAAAAACAATCCTAAACATATGTACTTAAGAAAAAGGTATTTTATATAGGTATAAAGTGCAGAGACATTTTTTTTTAATTTTGAACATAGCTTCACGAGTAGCCCTAAGTTTAGTTTAAGAAAGCACAGATCAATGCATTGTTGTAATTTAGTCTCTTTAGATAGTCTCAGTAGTGTTTACAATTTCAGAACAACGAAATAAAAAATTGCAAAATTTGCTTTATTTATACGAGGTTGATGACAGGACAAACAGAAAAATTATAGACAGATAGAACCTTAAATACTTCACAGAAAAAAAATAAGTTATACAGGTAACCCAGAACTCAATGTCAAGTAATATAAGATAACAGGAACATGGAAGTAATGTTAAAAAAGTTCAGGCTAAAAGAATTTCGAAATTATGGTGTATATTAAAGATAAAAAATGTGTAAGGAACTAAGTTGTGGAGAATTAAATTTTCTTCAAAAAAGTCCGACACCATATCTCAGTCTTCAAGGGTTAGGTTTAAATTGCTTCTTAGACTTCCGACCACCGGTACAAACATGCGTTTCCGATACTAAAACATCTTTGCAGTTTAAAAAAAAAAGTCAAAAATATTAGGCGAAGATTTTTTTTATTTTGTTCTAATTATTGTTTTCAGCAAAATTTTTTGCTATATAACTTTATTTTTGAAGTATTTAATGTTTTGTCTGGAGTTTTTCTATTTGTATGTCATCATCTTCACTTAGATAAAGCAAAAATTTATTTCGTTGCTTTTAAATTGTAAATATGCAAGTGAGACTACTATTACTCGTAAATTACAGCAATGGTTTGATTTGTATCTTTTTAAATTGAATATAGACCTATGTTCAGTGTTAAAAAAAATCTGTATATGTCCTATCATACTTTTAAATAAATTTTTGGCTGAAGTGTTTCATGACTTTAATATTAAGTTGACAACATAAACTATCAAAGGTGTTGCCAACTTAATTTCAAAGTCACAGGTTGCTTTGATCAGAAATTTATTTGAAAGCATGGTGTAAAGTTGCTACAAGAACTTATTATTTTATTTGATTGAATAATAGATTAGGTGACTAATTTGCCTTACATTTTTATTACCAATTATGAAGAAAAATATCATTAATTATCTTATTCTTCTCAATTTAATAGCAAGGTGAGCTGGGACAAGCTACATAACTTTGTTCTGTTCTAAATACGGACAAATAATAAGGTGCAGCATAATAAATGTTAATACATCAATCATTGCGTTAGTTCTTAAGTTGGAAAGAAATTTTGATTGAAACTAACGTCGATAATCTTAAAGTTGTATATAAGAGAAACTTGAAACTTTAGAAACTGTAGGTTATGCATATCAAAGATTATTTTTTGATTAACTGATGACTTAAAGTCTGTTATTTGGAGGATATTAGCATGGGTTTAATTTGTATTTCGTTATGGGGACCTTTGCTACAGTGTGTTATGTTTAGTTGTGTTATGGTAATTTTGCTTTCAAAATAATACAGATATTATCTCTAATGGAGGATAATTAGTTTGCAATCGCTGTGGATCTAAAGCTTTTGACTTAAAATTTGGCAAAATATGTTCAACATATGTTTAAAAATATGTACTACAAAGTTGTACATATTTATTTTATTTTTCATTGGCAGTTCATTCATTTTTACGAAATTAAAAAACACATAAGGGGTGTGATGTATACCATTGTCTTTAGTGTCTTGTTAGTGTCTAATTAGAAATCGATCTACTTTTTTGGTAACTGTGACCTTGAGTGGAAAAAGTAGGTGGGTTTGTTTACATCTGATGTATCAGATTTTCTGTAAGTTTTTTGGTCAAGACTGCAGGCGTTTCATTTTATCCTACAAGTAGAAGAGAAGAACATAGAGGTGTCTAAGAGAAATTGCTTGGTGGATAAAAAATAAGTATTTAAAATTTTATTAATCATTATTTTGTTAATTTTCATTGATAGGAGAAACTTGTCATCAGTCACTTGAGAACTCGGGTTTATTTTCAGGTTCATAAGTTTACTTTTTTCTTTTAATGTAATAAAAGAAGGCTATATGTCTGGACTATCAAAGCTGTAACCATAGTATAACGACTTAAGAAGCTCTTATCATATGCTTCCTAATAGTCCACTGTTACATAATGGTGCATTAATAGGATAGAATCCCGTTATAACGCAGTTGCACGAGAACTTGAAATTAGGTACTAGATTATAACCGAATTACAGTTCAGCCGGAAACAAGCATTTTTTGAAAAAAACAATTAAATGTGACAACTGTCGAATTACTCAACAGTTATTAATACTACTTTCAATTCCTCCTGATGGTTAAATACATTTTGATGCACATTTTTCTAGATTTCTGTATTTATCTACTATAATAATATCCTGCCGAAATAACAAAATGTATCAAATAGTTGCGGAAACTTTATATTTTTATGGCAAAACGAGTTGGCATTCCATCTCCTTTCACTCTGTTCGTCGTTTTGTATTCAGAGCGACAGCGACATCGCAAGTTCGTTGAATCGGAAACTATTCTGTTTCTTGTATCGACTATATTTACCGATAAGATGAATTTTTGCCAAATATGTCATAGATGTTTTTATGTCGCATTATTTATTTTTATACTACCTACAGCATGAAACGCTGAAATACCTGCTTGGTCGCTGCAAAACTTTCAGTTGGTAATAAATTAAATTTTCAACCTACACCAAGGATTAATGACGGTGTTGTTGGAGAGGTTTGTAGGTTTGTATAGTAGGTTTGCATGCTATTTGTTGCAGCTTGTGTAGGAAATATATACTCCAGCCGTTGTAGGTCAATAAGATCACGACTACGCGGTATAATAAACAGGATAAGGAGACGATATTAGTCAGTAAAGCGGAGATTTGTTTATAGCATTGTTTTCCGGGTTAATGCAACTTCTGGCCTATATTATAGGTATATGTGGGAAGGTGAAGATTATTTGTTTTCTTTTCGATTGGGGGCAAACGTTTTTGGAAAATATACAGGTGTCTCATAAATATCTGCCCAATTTTTCACAACGTACACTTAATTCGGTTAAATATACATTTGTTTGCAAACTTAAGATATATTTAGTTTTGTGTTTAAAAATTATAGTTTGTTAACATTAAAAATTAAATTAATACTATATACCTACTTTTCTCCTTAAATAAAGAGATTTTAGTTTTGATATTCTTTATTTAGCAATAATATTTCCTATTTTCAGAAATTTTTTTTGTTTTTTGCCCTTTTAGGGCAGAAACTATTGGTTTTCTTTGTACGTAGTTATTTGAAAGCATTATATTGTCATTTGAAGGGATTTTAGAATCAAGGATTTTTATCAAAACTGAAAACTTTACTCGGGTAGATATAGATCTTCAAAAATGTAACTAATATTATTTTTTTATTAATTAGAATTAGAATATTTTGTAAGTAGGAAACGTTAAAATTTGCATGCATATTAAATAATGTTTTAAAAGTTTTAAAAATATGAAGTAAAACATGAAAAAACCGGGTCAATTGTTTTAAGATTTTCTAAGGGCCAGTTTTGATCTATTTAAAGAGACTGTAAAATTAATGTTGGTTTAGAATGTGAAATTTTTGTCAACAAGTCTGTAGTAATCAGCACATTCTAAACAATATTTAATTTAAAGCTTCTTTAAATACGATTATGAAACTGAACCTAAAAGGGTAAAGTTTGAATGACCGTGTATTTATACGGTGCGATCAAAAAAAATAAATAAATTAGAGTAGGCGGTGATTAAAGTCCTTCAGATGGCAATCCTGATTTTTGACATCAAATGTCAGCGGAAACTTTGACAAGTTTGCGTTTTATTCTTTTTGAGTGAAATAATGTTCACTTTAGAAAAGAAAATTTTTTTTGCTGTACAAGAGGAAAACGGTGGATGGTTATTTTCACTTTCAGTGTGTGTGGAAAATTTCCAGCCCAGATTCCCAGCCAATGTGTTGCCAACTGTAGAATTTAAACAACGCCTACTCTAATTTATTTTTTATTTGATCGCACGGTATTTCTCGTGACATATAATTTTGTCTCAATATTCTGACACTTTGTTTTCTGTATTGTTGGCTTTAAATTTGTTTATACTCTATGTATAGGATCTTATTCTAATACATATACTTGTATACTTGATTTAGACAAAAACTATATTTTGTTACCTATTTTACCTCAAAAATGTAGGTAAAGTAGAATCTGAAATACAGACATTTTTTCAGCAATAACAAACATTTTAAATGCTAGTACTCATCTGAAAGTTTTAGTAAGTATCAGCTTATTTACATAGACTAAAGTTTATTATTTAACCAATACGAACATGAAAAAAAATTAAAAAACTACTAGAAGCGAATTTGTTACGAATATGAGTAATAACTGTCATAAACTAAATTATTTCTAGAAAACTGGTAGCTACCGTTATCTCTATTAGGTGGAATTTGTGTAAAATAATCATTTAAGTATGAGTACACTAAAATGAATTTGTGGCAACTTTAATTAAATAGCATTCATGCTTTTTTATAACCAGATTGAAACTCACTTGTGGAAGTTTCAGTTGCAGCGTTATTTGAACTAAATACTTGTATTATTCAAAACTGAAATTATGTACAAATTAATTATTAAATTTTGAATTACTAAAATAAAGTTATTATGTTTAATCTGACAAATTAATCGAGTGGAACAGTTTGTAAACTGTAAAGTAGTAAACTTTTAATGAGTGGATTAGAAGGATTTGGTTTGTTATTTATGTGGAGGTAGTTTTATGTATTTCAATTTTCAACGGTTGAAAACTTGGGCCTTTTTCAATTTTGGAAATAACAATATATTGCGAGTTTAAATGAAGGTCGATTTTAAATGAGTCGCTTGCTTGTCGTTTGACTTCGTTGTTAGAATTGTTTTACATTTCGAGAAGAATTATTTTTGAGAACACTTTGAGACCGTTTAATGTTAACAGGGTTGGGATCATCAGTTGGAAACGTTTATTGAGGAAATTGGTTTTGGGATTTGGTTTCAAAGGCATGTTTCATCTTGTGATAATATATTGCATTCGCTTTAGTATCACCTGTATCATACTGTTTTAAAATTTTTGATTTTTATTCTACTGGTATGTCTTGTGAATTGTGATAATTGAACTATCATCATACATATATAAATTATGTTATACTTACAATTAGTCCTGCCTTCTTGTTGAATTTACATTGGAAAAATAAAAACAAATTGATGACTTTAATAAGTGGTCGCTTTGAGAATCATCTTCATCTGAAAGCCGACCGTTTTGTCATTTTCTCATATCCTCTATTTATTTGTAAGTCTTCCGCCACGCCATTAATATTGGTAATAAAAGTCACAAGCAATAACAGCTGCAAAAAATTGCATCTGTGTGAAAGCAACAAAATAAAAATACACAGCCGGAATTTATAAGTTTATTAATAATAGAGATGTTCATTCGCTCTTACCATCTGGAAACTAATAATGAACATTTTTTAAAAACAGTGGAGTATCCTCATTTTGAAAAATAAAAATAACACTTCTACAATCGTTTTACTTTCTTGAACTTTATTAATTATTATTAACCCACCTGCTGTCATTAGTATAATGGATAAGAGTATTACTTTTCTCACATTAACAACACTAATTGTTCATTACGTTTAATTTTGCACATTGTAATGTCTTGACTAAAAGCAGATGGTGATTACTAATTAGAAAATTTTATTCCATCAGATTAAAAATATGGAAACTGTATTTTATTCAGGTGTTTCATATGCTTTATGAACATTAATAACTTTTATAATTTTGCGCCGAAGGTAATGATTAATCAAACACGGTTACTATCCATTTACACTTCAGTATATCTACAATCTAAATAGTAATGGTAATTTTTATAGAGTTGGTAATTTTGAATGCGACGCGGCGTGAGGCATCACATGAAATTGAATATTTGAAAGAAGGTGAAATTGACAATTTGCGATCGTTTTTAAGCTTTTTCTGAATTCGTAATAAAGTGAAGTATTTACTTCACAGCAATGTCACAGACAACAACAGTTTTGAAAAAATATGCACTTAAATGTTGGAAATTAAAATTAAGTAAATTAAAAAGAATAACGTTCAACTGAGATGTTTGTGTTAAGTAGTGATTTCAAAAAATCTGAGAGAAGTATCAATAACTTTTGATTGGTGCAGCAATTTGGCGTGATCAAGGTTAAGTTATTATACATATTATTATTTTTCGAAAATTTATTGTTATTTAGATAATTTATTGGATGTATGTCACACATTTTAGCGAGTACCTACTTTAGGCACCGTTATCTACTTCTAATTGATTTTTACTCATAATTATTATTAATTAATATTTCTATTTATTCTTAGTGAAACATTGGATCATTACAAATTACAATTATAATGAATTGCCATTTTATTGTTTTTACAGTGTTTTTTCTCTTTGGTCGGTTATCGATCAATATCGAATCTTAAAACATGAATAGCATCGGGAATCTAGGGATGTTTTAGAAAACTTTTTCATAATTTTAACTCAGCACAGTGTAACTCGTATTAAAAAGTTGTTGCTTTTAACGAGTTCTACTAGTAGTAAAAAAAACCGCCGACTTATTTCTGATACGCGTTGTATTTTGCCCATTTGACAGTTGAGCCAATTAAAACTTTCACGCTTTTAAATTTTTATAGAGTTTGGTATTTTAGCTTTCATACCAAATTAATAAGGATATGGTTTATCTGAATCTCAATTAGCTATCTTTTTGTATATGTTTTTTTATCAATGTCTGTAAATTTTAATTTACATAATACAAGAGTCTATCACAACCAATAATACTTCCTGAAAAAAGTTATTTCTGATGTAGCCTTCAGCGTAATTGTCAATGTTGATGGTTTAAAAGATAAATTTCTTAAATTTTATTCTTGTTAATTGTTGAAATAATTTCCATAATTACGAAGGCAATTGACATCTGTCTATATTGATCCAGCTCTAATAAACAAATTAACACAGAATTCAATTTAAACACTTTACAGTCTTAAGTTACAATGATCAGAAATATCAATGATGAGTTAAGATACAGTACTCTTAAAGCTGCACCTACAACTGTGGATACATTCTCAACGCCTGGGGAATTTTGTTGAATTATTGCATAACACGGTTCAAGGGGCAACTAACCTGTTCCAACCATGTAATTTTTTAACACACATAATTATTACCCAATGGCATTTTGCAGGTCCAATTAAAAGTTTCTGAGCGACTAATTTAATACGCATAAAGAATGACGGTGTGAAATGAGTAAGTTGTAAACATTCCATTGTTCTGACCAAATGTTATACATATTATTATACTCGAGGTGCGACAGAAGCTCAAAGAGATCTATTCTAAACTATTGTATATTGTTAGTTTTTTTCATATATGACATTTTATATGTACCCTACAAAAAAAACTTTTTGTTAGATTTAGTGTCCAAAACAGCTATTTATGTCACTTTTACTAAACTAGGATTAGCGAGGTTTTTACTCAATACGGAGTTTTGAATAATTCGAAATCTCAGTGGTTGATAATTTTGTTGCATCACCTAATCTCCTAATGATAAATTTTGTTTCAGAATATACTGGATAAGTTTAATCCGGGAGCGAGGCAAATGATCAACGCTGGAAAAGCTTATCTCAAAGCTCTTCATGGTAAGGCCATTATTTCTGACTTTTATATATTCTATTCGAAATAATTTTTCTACACTAATGTAATAGAAGATAATTTATAATTAGAAGATATTAAACAACTATTTACTGTTCTATATTTTTTGTCAAACTTTTTCATTTTTTTGACATTTTTAGAAAGAAAAGTTTCAAGTGACTCTTTTAGGAAGTGAGCAAGAAACGTGTTGTAGACTGTCTGTTATCTTGTTATTTCGCTACTAATTAATGAATTTTTCACCGTTTCTTTTAATGACTCTTTCTGTCTCGCTCATCTCCACAATCACGTAAAATCTGCAGTCTTTATTGAAGTGTCTCTATAGTTGATGTGAATTGTGCACGTTTTTCCTTGTACCTTTAATTTAGAATTTCATCGACATATAAATGAGTTCATTATGAATTGTCACGTAAAGCAATAAGTGTAAGTAGTACTTGTAAAGCAGATGCACATTACGAGCTTTAAAGATAAACTGGAAAAATCATTGATAACTGACATAATACTTTCTCAAATATCAAGCAAAAAGTAACTTGTCATCAATAGTAAAACCGGAAAAAGTCACCAAAGTAGCGGGTTTAACATTTACTCACCCTGTCATGCTCACAAAAAGATAAATATTTGAAGAAATGACAAATCCTTTCACCGTTGAGGACTATGAAAAGCTCATTTCCTGTTTCTACACATTTTCTCCCACATTGAGGCAACTATGTTGGTAGTATATTGTACAAAGTGCTTACCTTAATCCTCATTAAATAAAATTATAAAAATTATAAAAATACATGTTGGTAATTAAATCAAACAAACTAAAACCGAAATTTACTAAAAATTACCATAATCAATTTACATAAATCCACAAATTCTAAATAATTCTTTGCGTTGTTTATGAAATTATCCAATTGAATATTTGATTTTTCATCTGTAAAATCAAGAACTTTTCTGCGTGCTGATGAGGCTTCGAGTTGGAAGCTCTCAGAGTTTATAGCGTTTTATCAAGCGCTATGTCACACAATTGCTTTTCCGGAAGAAATTCTTTCCATACGATGTAATCCGAGTGTTATTTCTGTGGTTTTATGCTTCCTGACAAAACCAATGGAAAACTAACAGAAACGTGACAGATTTTTATTTAACACTTTATGTAAATGTTCAAAACACATTTTAGTTATTTAAATTGCAGATATGCAGACTAGTCTTATTACCTAAGTACAACTTCGGATCATGAAATACCTGGAAAAGAAGAAAATGGTAGTTATAAATTTTCAACGAATTAATCTAATGGCACGCAAAGAATTTATATTTCTTATGCATTTAGAATTTCTCAGTTTTTTAATTAAAATTCTTTTTAAACGGTGCACTAAAATGAAATGCGTATTTTTCTCTGGAAATTGACTGTTGCATTGATTTAAATAATAAAAAATTACTGTTGAAAGTTTAAAATAACGAAAAATATGTAAAAATGTGCAACCGAGAAATAAATGAATTTATCCAATTTTCGTAATTATCAAATTGGAATGATTTAATTAGTAACCACACCAGAATATTCTGTTAAACGCTTTCAGAGATGAAATTTACAGACCCAATTTTCGCGAGCTGCAAAATACTTATCAGTGGAGGTACACAGAAAGCTATTTCGCAGATTTTCAACACTTTATTAGTAGTTTTATAAGTTAATGTTGCTTCATATTTATGAACAACCATGTTTATCAGCCAAAAATAATGTTTATAGCACTAACGGTAGTTGTAATTTTTAAACCGTAGTCTTTGTTGAAAAAAAATTCTTAGTAGGTTACCATTTAAAAAAAGAAGATTTGCACATCCGAGAATTTTTTTCAGTAATCAACAATTTTTTTAGTATGTACTTTGTAATGCAATAATTCGTTTTAATATAAAGTAAATTTTTAGTTTAATCGGAAAATGCTTTGTTTCATATCTTATTGGATCGATCACAAAACAGAAAAATTTGTATTTTTAGTAGGTAAAAGTAATCATTGGCCAGAAACCCAAATTTTGTGATAATTAAAACGACCTAATAAAAGCTTTCGTTTACATATTTTATAGCAGAATATTTAAATCAGTAAGCTTGATCAAATAATTTTATCTGAAAATACATACTTATTAAAGTTGAAATAAGGCAAGATGGAAAATCTTCATGAATATTTAAATTGTATACGATTTTCCTCAAACAAACTTATTTAATTTTGAGTTTATCTCGTGTTTAGAGAAAAAATGAAATATGCATTACTTTCTACCTTTTATGTAAATCAAGCTTACTTTTTGATGATGCAGCTGCAACCAAAAATGAAACATGCAAAAATCTCAGGCAAACCTCAAATTCTTTTCAACCATTCAGGGTTTCTAATAAACAGTTTACCGACTTAACTGGGTCGTTTTGTAAGTTAGTAGATACAGTCAATATTTTGATACAACAAGTAAAAAACATTCTCGTATCTAGTCAAACCCAGCTAAACTTAATAATTTGTATGTTGCACTAGCGGAAGAGTTGGAGCAAGTTTAGAAAATAAATAAGGATCTATTGTTTGTAATAATAACTCAGAAAGATTTGTGTTACTGTTGGCTTATTCGTAAAACAAAATACAAAATTAGTTCAGCTTTGTGATTCCCATCTCATTACCTAACTTGAACAAAATCGATCTTTTAAACAACATGAGATTTGAATATCAAATTACAAAAAACAATAAGTTTTATTTTGATTGGGAGGGGATTGTTGTTCTATTTATAATCCGTGACACTTGTTTGATTTATTTAATAAAGAACTTATGCAATATGCAAGCAAAGTTAGTTATTGTTTTATTTGTTTGTCTTGAAGGTTTACTGCAATGCTAATTTTCAGTGCAATAATGTTTCTTGTTTCAGAATTACTTATATTGTGCGTCATATTTTAAATTGTAACATGCTAAGACAAAAATCTAAATCTTAAAGGATTTTTAATTATTTAGTCCAAAAAAGGTATCTTGAGAGGAGCAAGGTGGAGAAGGAAAATTTGTCCTTCGATGTAACAACTAAAGTTTTTTGAACTCAGCCGAAATGAAAAAGCCGTGATAAAATATATGATGTTAGCTCCAAGAGACGGCACGACGTAAGGGGCGTCACGACGTTAGGGTCGCTGATAATACCGGCTTCCAAGGGGAGTCTGACGACTGCCTGTGAGGGCCGCTTAGAATTTACACAATGCAATTACTCTTTCTAAAGTATGTCTGAATTTATTCCTCGCAATGTGCTATAAATTGCAGGGATAGTATTTGACATCAGGAAATTGGTTTCGTTACAAGCACAAGTAGCCAAAAATGCCACTTTTTGTAGTTTTTGCATTGTGTGATAGATTTATTGATAGAGTTAATTAATATTTCTGTTTGTTTTTTTCATAATTTTTATATATAAAGTTTTTCCAAGTGTTTATCTATTCAATTTTCACAATGATTTATCCAGTTGTTCGAAGAAAGTTTAGATTTTATCGAACACCCAAAAAGTTAAAGGCGAAGATCGAAGTTTAATTTAGTTTGACAAATAGTGACACGTCAAGCTCTTATCGGTAAAACAGACTCCAGTTTCGTTTTTTCACGTTGACTGGAAATTAACTTCGTCTCAAAATAGATATTTCAGCAATACATTAAAATTAGACACTTAATTTTTTTTTTAATATCAATCAAAAAACATTTAGTACTTAGTAGTAAAACTCTTTGAAAAGAAGTCATCGCTTTTTAAGCCCGATTTTCTAGTTGCCTCTCAAGGGAATGTGCAGGTAAGGCTTTGAAAGTTACTAGGAAAAGTAGATGTTCCCATTTGAATACCAAATAAAGTTTGTGAGTCGGTGAGTTTTTTGTCGCTTACTTTGTCGTGACATTAAGTGTTAAAGTTTTTAGTTTAGTTGAAATGGTATTCGAGGTCCATCGTAAACACTCATTACTGTGACTCAATCAGACAATTAAATGTGAATTGCAACAGCGTTAATGCTTTGGGTGTAATTTTATCCTTCGGTAGGGACTTTTATTTGTCTGCATCAGATAATCCAGGCTAAAACTTCACAATAAAGGACCAAAATAGCGGAAGTTTAATTTTAGTTCCACAGTAATGTATGAAATTTATCTTCTGAAACATTTAAATTGAGGATATCCCTTTTTCGAATAAATTAATTATATCTTCAAACAGAAACTTTAACTTTGTGAATGTGTATTTATGAATCTAGAGCTTTATAATCTTCTTTCACACAAATATTTGTCAAAAAAGATGAAAGCCTATATCAGAAATGTGAAATTTACAGTTTTAATTTATTTCTTGATATGGGCTGAATCCTTGTTTTCTAGTAAAATTATCAAATTTTCTTGGTGTGGAAATAGGAGTAAATGTTTATATAAAATATATTCCGTGGGAACTTGTAATTTAGGATCCAGTAGAGACCATTGTCCTGCTGGGGGCGTTATCCTTGTAATTGTTCTTGCAAACTCCGCTTCACGACACATAATCCTGTAGATACGGTTTTCCTTTATTCACGACGATTGTTATGAAGAATGTTTCTAATGTATTGGTTTGTTTCTTGCATTTTATGCTCACGCAACGTACAGATTTGCAAAGAGGCGTTAAAATAAGTCATGCAGACTACAATCAACGGATAATATGTTACATAAGTGCAAAATCTTATTAATGAGTTATTTACATTCCAGATGCGTCACTTACTTTGCTAGAGTGACTTTAATTACCCTAATCTCGAAATGAAGCGGGGAGGGCTTAACAAAATGCAAGGAACAAAAATAATTACACCTAACTAACGTTGAGGGAGTTTTCTGAAACCGAGTTCTTGTTGAACTTTATAAGATAACAGTTTTGGAGTGAATTTGCATCGGGAAAATATGAAACTTTATACCCGCCAGTAAATTTATGAGTTAAAGGGATGCTGTTTTATATTTTCTAATCCAATTTCTTTCTTATGAAAAATATTGCAATAATCTTCTGCCACGTGCCTTTGTGTTTTCCTGGAATCAATGACAGTGCATCAAGCACTGAAAGCCTAACCAACTAAACACAACCCCTTTGTGTGTTAGTTCACACAAATTCTAATTCTAACATCTAAGGCTAATTCTAACACCTTGACAGTTGTTTCAACTGCTATTGCTGTTTGTGTCGCACTGTGAGTCGTCCTGTAACCACTAATCCTGATGTGGGTTACCACCACGTAACTAAAAATATTTACCCTTTACGTAGCAGAATAATTAAAATAAGTATATTGACAAAGAGGACAAACAACAAAGAAATAAACAAGGTGATAAAAATCGTAAACATCTATATTAAGAAAACTTTACCTTGGCATAATACCTGTTTACAATAATATATTGCTTCTTTGTTTCTTGTCTATTTACTGGAATAAAATAACAAAAAATCAAACCTTGTTTATTTTCCACTAGTTTTCAGCAAATTTAACTTAATTAAGTAAATTTCACGAACTTTTCATTTGCCTTCTGCTGTCTAATGGGAAAATTTTAATGGCGATTATTGCCCACGAAATAATTTTACAAAGTCGTTTTGAGCACAGACATTTATTTGTTAACTCATTTTCTTTCTGTTTGCTTAGCCAACATTTTCCAGATGCGTTTTATTACATCTACACAAAGATACCCGGAATTCTTTCCAGTGGCCTTTTTATTTGGCGCTTTGAATTTTCGTGTTGGAGGAAATATGTTTAAGACAAGAGCAGTTCTCGTTATTGCCGTATTTTTCTTTTACGAGATCTTTTATTACATTTTAAAGCATTTCGAATATCACTTAAAAACACAAAATTCAATTACAGATACTAATTTCCTTTATCTGTATAAACATTTTTAGGTTTTAGTTTTGCACTAAAAATTAATTTTGACTACAGTGTCCTTTTACAATTTTTTGGATAGTTTATTTTAATATTTGTTGCCACCAGCTATAAATTTCCCAGAGCATAATTTATTATATAACGTATTACAACAAAATTGTGTGGAATTAACGTCCTAACAGTTATCCGCTTTATTTTATATTAAATGATTAGTAAAATTAATTACTATTAAATAAATTTTTTTTCAGGAAAAAGCCTATCAAACTCGCTGTCAAAGCTACTATGCTAATTGCTAATTTTCTATACGAGAACCCAAGTTTTAAAAACATCGGCAGCTATTTCATCAATTTACAATTTTATACTGAATATGTGGTCTGTTTATTGCACGCTAGTGGGAGTCTAATTGCCTGCTCTAAATTACATCGGTCAGATATGCATTGATTAGGAGTTGATTATCATAAATCAATGTTGAACATGGACGCCGGCTTGTTTCTGACAATATAATGAAAGACAGGAAACTGAATTTGGAGAATTTCTAAGGAGCTATATTCCAGTGTCTTAAAGCAAAAAAGTTGTCGAGTTTGAGATGTATTTGATAGGCATCTAGTGGTTTTAATAATTTAGTTTACAAAAACCTTATTTTAAGCATATGAAAAAGATCCAGTAGATTTGTAGTTAGTTGTTTAAGATGTAAGAGAGAATTACAAAGTCTGAAGTTTTAATCTTCATTTATCGTCTGAAAAATCTTGAAGTATAAACATAATAAATTTCTAAGAATAAAAATGTATACAACAGAAATAATAGAAATTTTTAGAGCTTTATTAAAATTTGGTTGCATTACGCTGGTACATATTTATACAGTAAATTCTTTAAATTTTACCTGAAAAGATTGCTGAATATAAATGTGTTTCATGGACAATTGTTTTTTTCAGGTGCTGCTGCAGCATCAAGAATGTATGTAGATGCAATTAATAAGCTCGCTCGTCAGGCGCAACAAGGAACCTGGGGTGGATCCTCAGACATTGGTAAGCAAAGTTTTATTCACTTCTATTATTCTTCATAGTAATTAAGTTTCATGAATTTGAAGCAAACTCAGTATGATGTCTATGAACATATTCTTAAATCGTAAAATATGTAAAAGGAGAAATTTTTGAAAAATAAATATTGGGAAAAACGTTTTACTTTATCGCGTCCATTATTTGTCGTTATGTTATATAATCCTGCATGGCTGCTTTTTATGGCCGATATAAAACACACATTACACTTAAATCTAGCTCTTTCAACAAACACACAGGTCGTTTCTTTCTCCCTTCGGGTCCAATACCGCAACGGGCTCTGAAATATAAGAACGTTATTTAGAAAAACTTCTAAAAACGTCACCTAATAAAAAGGGTTTTAGAAGAAACGTGCCATCATTTGTTTTGATACGGCTTGAATAAAAATAGTGAAATAAAGCCGACCCTTTTATAAAGATTAATCCATTTTGTCACTCCATTTAAAAGCCGAATCATCATAAATTTATTTTCCATTTATGCTGAAAATTAACCTCTCGCGGGTTTCTGAATTCGATCCTCTTTGAGTAATCCCAGGATATCTAACTTTTTAAAATAATTAAATTTAAGTCAATGATTTCTTAAAGAAATAAGCTGTTAAAATAAAATTTATCTTCCACTTTACTTTTATTCTTATCTTCTCAAAGAGAAAAGTATGCTGTTGCTACTCTTTTTTCCACACACTTTGCAAGAGTCTATTAAAATATTCAAATTGGGGCTTTTAAGGAATAAGACTGGGACAGAATTCGTACCATACTTAAACTAAATTACTTTTCCTCGGCTAGAGAGTATTATAAGACAAAATGGAGTTAAAGGCGACAATGTGAAGAGAAAATGGAGTAGATACAACCCTTTTATTGGAAAAATGGACGCCGGCACATACACTTTATTGCACTTACCTATAATTTGATATTTTTTTTAACTGATTTTTGGATAAATCTAAATCTTAGTTTTCATATATATTTTTATATGAATTTATATTCTGCAGATACATCTAAATGCCTTCTAGAAATTTAAGTTGGAAAAACCTTCAATTGTGGTTCCATTTTACAAAAACAACAATTTGAACTTAATAAGAATATCAAGATATTTATAAAGATATTTTATCGATTTCTGTGTTAAGAGCAATGTTACATGCACAAAAATACTCTGGTAACTATGGCATAACCTTATTGATTGCTGTAAAATTTTACAATATTGAAATGTCAATTTTACAATATCGATATTTTACCTTGCAGAGACAAAAATGGAAAAAACATTTCATCATTTAAGTAGTAGTTTTTGGACTTTTTGTTTCCAAATTTCCAAAAACTGTTGGCGGTACCGAATTTGTTCCTTTTTTGGTGTTTCATCTCTAAATTTTCTTAGACGATTTTTTATGTTGACGTTTAATGACATTGTTTTCAAATTAATTCAAAAAAACGGAACTGCCAATGATGAAATGTTCCAAAAGCACCTGTTCCAATTTTTGGCTTATTCGACAGATACCAATAAAATCTTGAACAAACCTCGGATGTAATAATGTCATAACAGCTTTAGATGTCTTAAAATCCTCGCTAGCAAACTCGCTCGGATTTCAAACTGACATCTACAGCTGTACATCCTAGGTATGTTAATAGCTATTACATGCAACAAAAATAATGAAAAAAACTACATACACGAAAGCTCTTTGAAAATTTAAAATGAATAAACCAAAAAAGAGGCAAAAGTTTCGTCAAAGAAAGTTGGAATTGAGCGAAACAAATCTAAACAGCAAAATTAGAATTGAACTTTGTAATTTCTTACATCAGTTCAACAAAAACTCTTAAAATAACCATCATTTTCTTTAAGATTAACCCAAACCGAACGAAACAAACGAAATATCTATACTATTTGGGTTCAGTCAATTCTTCAGTGTATTTCAAACCCCTGTTTTCCCGAATCATGGAATTACTTTCTTGTCTAGACAGTCTGATAAATATAGTATTTTGTCTTATAATATAATCTTGTGTGTTTAGAAGAAAGAGGGTTTTGTATATAAAATTGAAATTGGTGAATTTATTTTCGATTTTTTTGTCACAAGAAACTTCAACAGATGGAATTGACATTTTCGCGTGCAGCGTGATGAATAGAAGCCAAGGTAGTTTCCAATTCGTCAGTGTTATTAAATTTCAGGATGTAAGTTAAGATTGATAACATGGAGCAGACCTACATTTAAAGTTACGCACCTAATAAAAAATTCAATTCCATGATGCATAGGTTCTCCAAACTACATACATACCTACTACATACTACATAGGTGATGGATGGAAACCAAACATTTCTTAAATTTCTTATGTGGTTCTAAAGAAATTTGACCTGGTGTTGTTGTCTTTTTAATTTTAATTAAAACTTCACGTTTAAGATTAAAATCTAAAAAATTGACCAGGAAAGTTAATTTTTTACCGATGCGCTCTCAAAATTGTTAAAAGACAAACTTTTGACAAACAACTCAAGTTTTATCTGAAAATAATTGCAAAATGTCTCAATAGAAAGTTTTAATTGTCAGATAAAAATTATATAAAGTTTGTGAAATTAGTCGAAGGAAATTATGACTATGCACCTCTGAACACAAGTTTATTTGATTAAACTTACCATAAATGGCTAATTTATTCTGAGATTAGTGAACAAGTAAATTCTAATTGATATTTTATTCCCGTCACGCGGAAATAATTCGAGAGGGAAATTAAGATGGCGACAAGAAAATACAAATTCGTTTTGTGTCAAGAGATCGAATATCCGTCGCCTACTCTCGAAGTAACCAAAAGCTTACCTCAAAAAGAACACATTGGTGGATTGGTGCTTTTCTTTTATCGCAAATACCAAATTAGATCACTTCATTTCAGTTTTTTGATTGGTTGCTTCACCCAATTAAAAATCGGAACTAAAATAATCTGGTCACGTATTTCGACTAAATGAAAGCTCCTGCTGTTGTGGGTACGTCTCTTCTGTAAAAATGTTCTTAATTCAATTAAAAATATTGCGCTTCAAATATAACACCTGCTAGTTGAGGGAGGCAACACCGTTTTCTGCGACCGTCACGAGCAGATCGTTTATTGGAAATTTCATTCTGATTCAATTTATTTTCTATATTGCTACTTAGTGAACGGAGACGTAAATCACGATAAACTCGTTTTCGATTATCGATTAAATAGACGTTATACATCGTATACCAATCATATTAATTTCGGTTGATAGAGAGAATTTTTCCGTGAGTGACATACAAATCGAACGTGTGGAATATGGGGAGAGAAAGAATGCTCTTATAAAGGTGGGAAAAGGTCACGTCTTTTGCTATATGTGAATAAACACTTTCACGTTTTTGTAAGTCCAATGGACTATGAACCAGTTTTTTTCTCATTAATAAAATGTTTTTTTCGAATCTTTTGATTATAATCAAACCTAAAGCATTAGGTATGTTATATTGTATATTTAGGTATACGTATTTGTAATAAGCCTTGAAAACGGGAAACCTAAAAAAAGTAAGAGAGAACTAAATGCATGATTTGTGACAAGTCACATGTTGATTTGTTATACAAGAAGGAATAACTTAAAAATAAAATTGTATCTTGGCTATGTGCGCATAGACCCTTCAAAACAAAATCTTAGTCAACTCAAGACAATCAATTTTAAAAGATCAATTCTTATAAATCTTTTTATTTTATTATCTTTGTGGTTTATGGGAAAGAGCATATTTGGACCAAGAAAGTTTCAAGATCCTTCAGCAGTAACCTAATGCTAAACAATCTCAGGAATGGATAAAATAAAAACTGAAGGGATAACGATTTCTCAAGAACTCTGCGTTGCAAAAACCCACAAAGTCTCCTTTACTTTACTCGTTTAAATATATCTGTTTCTATGTACTTTATATGAAAAGATTCGTAGTGTTTGGATTTGAAATTTTCTGCACAAAAGTTGCGGTTTCAGTTCATTGAACTCAATATAAAAAAATCAAAATTCGACGTATTATTAGAACATTATTTGTCGTCAAAATACACTTCAAGAGAAGTTCATTATTTAAGGAAGAAGCATGTTTACGACTAACCGAAAGAAGGGGTTAATGTCAGTAAGTTTGCACAGGGATTCTGAGATAAACCAGCCCCGATTATTAGATTACTTTAGGGAGAGCGTTCCCGAACAGTTTGTGCAACTCCACAAGTTTACCTAACGTGTCTCCGTCTGGTTACAAACTTACCTGAACAAAATTATGCCATCGCTAACTCGTTCGTAAGTGAGGATTGGGTCATACTTCAACATCAAATTAGATTACTCAACTTTGGAGCGTTTTTAAGGGCTCTTTCACGGTGGGACGTCGACGGATGATTCTCATAATTTAATATACCAACCTAAATTTTTAATTTGATTAATGCTAGAACTGCAAATGCAATCAGATTATGTGAGGGTGAGACGAAGTGCCCAAAAGGTGACTATCCTGTTTTTACGATGTTCCAACGAGGGTAATGACCTATGCTTTAGTATATTTTGCACGATTTTTTCAGGTTCCTAAAATGTAGACGAGGTTATATGAGTGTACTTTTAGGACTTAGTCTTTGAAAAAAAGGGAAATATTCAAGTTATGTAAATTTAAATAATGATATTCTAGAGAAACTTTCGATTAAAGTAACATAAATTCAAATTAGTTTTTCATGAAACTTCTCGTTGTGTTTTGACAAATTATTGGACGTGACGTTAAAGCCGGAAAATAAATCACATGGTGTGAGCTTCGGCAAAAATAAGGGGAAACGATACAGGCTGTTTAATGTTGTTCATTCAAGAGGTAATTTCATTATTAGGACGTTAAAGAAAGCAGGCAGTGGAAGAGCAGCGATTGTGAGCATTTATTCCTTTAGACACTGGAAGAATGTGAGAGGTTTTATTTACCTTTTCACTATATATTAAGGATTTTATCTTAACAGTCTGCACACGCTTCTGTAAAAGAGCGGTGGAAAAGCTTAACAAAACAAAACGACGATCCGGGAAAAGCTTCTCCCCTAACAAAGTGCATGCGCGAGTGCCGACGGAACGGACAAAACACTGAGGGAGACCAAAATGAGTAAATGAAGCTTCAACGAGAGACCTAACTCTCCTAAAACACCTTGAAATTATTAAATTTACATTCAGGAGGATGTTTCCTGTTAATATTGTAAATTTGAAATGAAAAGCTCTTGAATGAAACATATATCTTTGGAAAGAATCGCTATATATTCCGATGTGAAGTTTCAATTGCTCGTCAAAAGTCACAAAACCTACATAATTTCCCGATTGAAATAAACGCGAACAGAGCTTCCTCCGTTGACTTTTATTGGTGTCTGTAACAATAATCGATAACTTGCTTTTATGGATGTTGTCTTCTCTTCAGTGCGTCTAGGATCAGGCCATAGAGAGTATTTAAATATATTTAATGGAAAACATGACCAAACTGTAGGGAGTTCAGAACTCAAAGTTACTTTTTGATTAAACAGTGTCTTTCGATTTAAAAGCTTCCCTACTAAATCGCCGACCCAATCACATCCGCTATTCCATTAAATGTTACTATTTGAACAAACTCGACGGGGCGCTAGTAAATGACTTGCCAAACAAGGGTTGAAGGGGTCAACTGCATGCCTTAATGTTGTGATAGAAAGCCACTCCTTGTACCACCGCCAGCGAAACAAAACCGCCCTCAAACGCATTTGCATCCCCTTCTTGTTTTGCAGTCTTTACTAAGATAAAATATGCTAATGGAACCGTGAATGCAAAATTAACTGTTTTTTCAACTTTTTGGGACGCATTTAGCAGCTATAATTATATAAATGGCTGTCAAATAAGTATAATATTATACGTTACAATAACCTCTTTTGATTACAAGAATTATCCGCTTTATAATTATTTATTTGTTAATGTATTATTTTTGATTAATTGGTTAATTCTCATGATCACTGATTTAATAAAATACTTTATTTATTTACTAGGTATGTGATTTTTTCAGGTGCTGCACTAATGAAAATTGTTGAGGTTTACAAAGAGATTCAAGATCAACAAATGAACATAGTAAGTATATCCGAGATTAAAATTTATCAGGTTTGCTTTCAAAAGTTTTCCTTGCGATTAAAACTTTAAAATAATTATGCAAAAAGTCCTGCAACGCTGGAAAATAAAAAGTGATTTTGTTGCATGTTCAAAACACAAAATTTTACCGCTCTCTAGTTGTGTACAAAGGTAACTGAAATTAAAACAGTGGAGGTGGTAAGCAATTAATTCGGAGAACATAATTGTGTTACGGCCGGGGCGAGAACTGTCCTATAAAGCGGACAATCTAAATAAAACCGCGAATAAAATTACAGTATAACCAGAACATGGACGTCACAAAAACACTGGTAAGTCCTTTGCCTGCCACAGCCTGGCAGTCGGCAACTTTTCGTGGGGTGCAAATTGTTTGCAAGGGTTTTCAGAAAAAACAATCCGATTTTAAAGCACGTACTTAAGGCCACAGATATTGATTTTGACACTCCTTGTTCCTTTTATTTTTTTAAAATTATTTTGCGGACGGAATTTGAAATATCTAATAAACAATTAATTAAAATATTTCCTTACGATGTAATTAGCGCTTCAGTTTGAAAAAAAGTTGTATGGGCTCTCGTTTGATTATTTTTTTTAATTTTATGACGTCTACACGGATTTTTTTAAGAATTTTAAAGATTATTCTTTTGGATGCCAGTAAAGAGGTGTTTTTGATCTGGAAGCATACCCCACTTTATTTGATTAATGAAAAAGGAAGATCTGTTTTGATGTTTATTCATTCAACTTTCGTGCAATCGCTAATTAATATTTGCTTTCCTTCAACCAGCAAACGGATGATATTTGTATTAATTACAGTATCTGTACTTTCAATTTATTTTTGAATATTTCCAGCTTAAAGCATTTTACGTCGACTTGCTAGTTCCACTCGAGACCAATTTGGAAAAAGATACCAAAGTTGTGCAGGTAATTATACGAATCATTTCATAGCTGCAACTAAATTTAATAAAATGAACTCACTGCGAATTTAGATTAGCACAAAGTTCAAACTTGCAGTCAATGCAAGAACTAAATCAAACTTTATTGTTTTAGTCCGAGCAGAAGAGATTTTTACAGCAACACAAACAGAGATCAGAAACTTATAGTAAAGCTGCAGCTATGATGAAAAAGCAACGAAAGAAATCCAGAACTTCGCAAAAAACTGGCCTAGCCATGGATAAAGAACTAAAGGTTAGTTGGTTAATTAAGGAAGGGAGTGAAGTGGAGAATATCATTTTTTGTTATAGAATATGCAAGTCTTGGAAGAGGAGAAAACTAAATTGGATGCTTTCTGTGAGCAAAGTCTTAAAAACGTAAAATCAGCGATTCATATTCAAATAGTAACGATATTATTATAGATGAGTTATTTTAGGCAATAACCCAAGAACGCAGACGTTACGGATTTGTTCTTGAAAGGCAATGTTCTCTGGCAAAACATTATTTATCTTTTCACAATCACGGACTGGCTGCATACCAACAAAATCTGGAGAAATGGTCGGAAGTTGCCAAAACAAGAGAATATCTTCCGGAATCTGTCGAAAACATTTTCACAAACAGACTAAGGGTAATCTCTTTCATAACTTTAGGAATTTTTATTTAATTGAGAAAGTTTTTAGCAAATAGTCTGGCAAGATGAAGACGTGTACTCGAATCCAAGGAGTCCTAATCTTGAAGACGATCGAATCAGTATTAGTTCTCAGTTACGGAAAACCAAGAGTATGGACGCATCTTGTCTTGATATACGCTCAATAGGCGACGTCGGGTCCCCGGTGACGACGTTATCAAGGGCCAAATCGGAGTATAATTTAAATTCTTCGACACATTCACTTGCACACGGTGATTACCGACATTGTTGGGAACGTTCCCGGAAAATTTATCTTTTTGCAGAGGGGCACACTCCATCCCATCGACCAAAATCGATTGCTGTCCCACCGCCACCTCAGTGGGAAACACAACTAGCTAGAGCGCTTTACGCCTACCTTTCTAGTGGAGATAATCAACTCAGTTTTCTTGAAGGAGATCTCATAGCGCTGATAGGGGAACGAAATAAGGGTTGGCAATTCGGAGAGAACTTGAGGACACAATGCAGTGGATGGTTCCCATTAGCATACACAGAACTTCTGGATGATCCTACCACGTAAGCTAGTTTCCATATCTTCCTAACTAATTTCTAAATTACCTACTAGTATTAGTTTTCAAGTATGAAGCGCTTGGAGGTTTAAGTAAGACTCCAATACGAGTAAATTTAATAAAGATAGACTAGGAATATTGTCATCAGGAAATTAATACAGTATTTGTGTGAAACATACAATTGTAACATTCAATTGAAAGTTGTTTTTGCAGTCCTATATTCGTATTATTTTCAATTCTATTCCATTTAAAATTAAAGCGCAGAGTTAACTGTTGAAACAATTGCATTATATTTTATACAAAACACGTAAATAAACCTTAAAACTTTAGAAAACGACTCAAATGTGTACATATAATACAATGCTGTGCAATTTTAGCGCTAAAAAGCTGATCTTTTTCAGTCCTTACGCGTGAATTAAACAACGCATTATATTCCCAAAGTGAATTTATTATTGGCGCTTTCAATCCTCCATCGCTTTAAAAGCCCAGATATTTTGTTACCATCCATAGTAAGGACGCTACTTTCCGTCTTTAGTAATAAACATACTACATAACATAAAAACATATTCGGAATTCAGTATCGATCTCCATAGTATGTGGAAATCCGCGTGCACATTTTAGGCAACACAAACACGAGGCAAGTCGAGTTTGAACGAATTCACGTGTTTTCATTTTAAAAGTGTTGAAAAAAAGGATATTTTGACTTTGTCTTATTTTGTTCATTTTTCAGCGTTTAGACAACTATGGTAGTAAAGATGAATTTATTATCAAAACAAAACAAAACATGTTGCATTGAAGGGTTGCTTATGAATACAAAAATATTTAAAAAAATCTGACCAGGGATGTTGAAATTTCTTTTGAATTTGATTATCACTGCTTTACTCGTATTTTGATTCAAAAATATTGGGAGGCAGTTGAAAGTACAATTTTAGTTTAATTTTAAAATTCCGCTATGCTATGATAACTACGTCCCGAAACTTAAAATAACCCAAAGTATTGATTTATTTGATGATTATAAAAATTTGTTGAAAATGTAAAACATGTATAACATAGCAATTATTGTAGTATTTTGGTTAGTAAATTTGATTTAAAAACGTTTGTGGTTGTTGTTGAATTTTAATTAAACGCATTGTATTTGAAGATAATTTTGAAATTATTGAAATTGAAATTTAATAGCCATGTATTAAGATAATAAGGATTTTATAGAAAGTTTAAAAATCGAAGTAGTGGTTTAAATTCGAGCGACCGTTAAGGAGCGAAAATTTAATAGATCGAGATTTATAAAACTTGTGTTGTCTACAAAAAATTTTCTATCACTAATATTGGATCATTTGCCAAATTTAGAAATTGTTATAAAGAAATTAGTAAAAATAATGTCAAAATTGACAAAGTGCTAAGATAAGACTATTTTATGTACTTGTTGTGATTGACGACGTATTTTATAAAAGAGCGTATATGTCATGCCACAGCCATCGCTACTGCTGACACTTTTCACAATATTTTTTTCTATGTGAAAGAGTGGAGCTTCTTGGTTCAAAATTTGTCAGTAGGTTCAGTTATAACACAGAAATAAAATATTTCTTACTTTTTTCACCTCAAAAACGCAGTTGCGACGGTGTCAGGGTGGCGATGGCTATGACTATACCGGCAACATAAGAGGTAAGCTTAAATGCACCAAAGAAACAGTATAAGATATTAGTGTTGTAAAAACTCTTATATTGATGTGACTATAAGTAAATGAGAGCTCAGGAATTACGCAATTTTATTGTTAATTAAAATTATTGATTAAGTTTTAATCAAACAGTGTTGACAAGTTTATGTTTGAATCACAGACCACTTGAGATGTTCCAATTTCATAAAACGTACAAACATCGAGGTTCAGTTCAAAAGGTATTATTTTTGCATAGAATTACTCAAATATTTCATTTGTGAAATACATTTGTTTCAGCTTTGTGAATTTTTTGTGTGCAGGTCGCCAACTCATCGCAGTGATGCAGGTGGATCCATTCAAAGTCAACAAACGCCAACAAACGGCGGCAACCCAATGTCGCTCGGCGGCTCCGGCACTCCTTCGGGTAACAATTCGACACTAGACCCTCCAGCCCCTCGCATGTTCGGCGACACCCTGCATTTGCATAGATCCTCCAATAACGCTAAACAGGTAGAGTAGCGCCAGAGTTGCATACGTATCGATCCTAGCAGATTTATTCTGCTTGCGTTTGCATGAATATCGACTATCGCCAATTACACACGATCGGTTCCTTTCAGATTCGGCGAGCGATCGGTTCTAACAACATTCCGCCCCCGGCGTTACCGGCTCCGGTGCCGACACCCTCTCTGCCATTCAAAAAGATCGGCATGTCGCAATCACAAAGTGCCAACTTCAAGTCCAACGCCGACACGTCCAGCTTTCAGTCCCCGTATCAATCGGGGATCAAATCGTCAACATCCACCTTTAGTTTCTCCACGCCTCCCACAGGAACCTACTCCACGCACCCTCAGCCCGCCAGGAGCGACCGACCCACAGCGGGCGCTCCTTTACCATTACATCTCCAAAGCAAAAGCGGAAAAATCGGCGGTCCAGTAGGAAACGTATCGTTACATAGCAGTAACGATTCTGGGTTCAGCAACGATCCGCCGCCACAACCTGAGATTGATTATTCAGATGATGACTCTATTTCTGGACAAACTAAATTCCCGGCGAGGTAAGTAATGGGACGTTGTTTCGTTATAGGGAGTTTGCTTGGTTAAGGTTTACTTCAGTTTAAGTTAAATTTGTTGGAAAGTTTCTACTAATCAGGCAAAATGGTTACGGTACAGGGTACACGAATAAATGTCTGCAGAATTTCTTAATTACTACACTCCAGAGGATACAATGTAGAAATTCCGTTCTCAGCAATTTGAGGTATTTTCCAAGGAAAATATTGTTTGTAACTTTGCTTTTACAAAAATGTGAAATTACAAATTTAATTTTAATTTGATTTATTAGGAAAAAAATGGCAGAATTATTCTGAAAAAGGTCAAAGTAAGTTTCTTTCGGAAAAAATAGGCATCTAGGTAACACCTAATTAAAAATGAAAAATTGCAAAAATTACACCTTTTTTTCAATAGAACTGTTTTACAAGTGTCATTGTTTTTTTGCACGATCTTTTCGAGTAAATCTCTAAATGTTATTCAGAAACTAATATTCCATATCGCTTCATGAATCAAAGTTTTAATTAACAAGCGAGTTGAATTCATACAATTGTGAACGAGAGTTAATTGTAATCGATGAAGCTGATGTTTCTTAGCTTTTTATTGAAAAATTGTTTTTTTTTAACTTATTGGCAGTCGCATATCTGTTTTGAACATAATAGTCAAAACATAATGAAAGTTTTCAAAACAAAAAATTAAGAAAAAACAAAAACTCACAAGTAAGACTTACAAAAAACTAAACTTACAAGTAAGAGTTTTTTTTTCAATTGTTGATAAACAATTTTCTTAGGAATAACTCGAAATTGTGTAATTATTGAAGACATTTTGCCTGGTTAGTGTACAAATAACAGTGCACAGCGATTACTTTGTTAGGCGTTTACTTCAACTGCACTATTTAAATTAAATTTTATTTTTTAGATACAAGTATCGACCATACTTGGGCCTCCACTCCCCCAAAAATAATTTTTCTCGATATTTCGAGTTTATGCATTATTAAGTTGTCCCGAATTTCTATTTGTACATGTTTAAATCTGCGTCAGTAAAAAACAACGAAGTAGCTAAAAATGTCACAAATCTTTATTTTTTCTGATAATTTGGTCACACTTTCGACTATCTGTTGCTTATAAACTGGGTCACAGCACACAGCAGCGTGCAGACACACCATTAGTGGCGGAATGCTGCAAGATATATGATAAAAACGTGCCTTGCCTTCGATAAATTCTTATTTTTTAATTTTCGAGTCAATATTCTTGACAATTTCCTTGGTGAAGGACTCTGGTCATTGAAGTAAACTGCCTAATTTGGTACTTGCTGTAATATTTGGCTTATTTCGTTTTTGTGCATAAACTATGTAATAAGTATGTATTATTACCACCACAGAAGAGTACATCGCCAGCCACACAGTGACGGTAATAATAACACAGTCCAAAAAAATGTAAGACAGTCTAACAGTCACGGAAATCTGGTCGACAACAGATATTACATGTCAGATGATCAAGATGCGACAAGAGAACGAAAAGGTTTAGTTAAAAGAACAAAATCTTTCTGGAAATTTGGAAGAAATAGTTCAGATAATGAAATTTTAGAAGGTATGTCTTTGTGGAGGCATAGAGATCTTGTGGACGTAGAAGAAGAGAAACTTAAGAGAAGGAATAGATTTAATAGTCAAGAAAGAATTAAAAAACCTAGTCGTGACAGATCAAACGATTCAGATCGAACCATTAATGCCAACCAAAATCTAGAAAGTGAGAGCAAAAAGGATATTGAGCAAAGAAGAAATGTGGAAAACGTGAGGCAGTCTATTAGAGAAAAACCAGAAAAAGAAAATTACGGTTACCACAAACGGAATAATAAACAGTCAGCAAATGATCAATTTTATGACGACGATGGTGATGGACTGATAATGAAAACTGTTAATCGCAAGAATATACTGCAACAGTACAATAATGATTCCTCTGTTGGTGATTCTGATTCTGATTCCGAAATCACAAGCGATGATCCTTATGACTGTATTCTAGTAGATGATCAAAACGTAAACAAGCGGGAAAATCACTTTCCCAACGTCGTAGAGATTGGGAAAAAATTAGAAAAACTGTCAAAATCGAGCAAGTTTTCCCCAAACAACGGCAACAATCGTCATTCAGTCGCCGAGAAAAATTTGCGAAATAATTTCGAAAAAAATTTAAACTCTGATAACCACAACATAATTCAATACGAGAAACAGCACAGCTTCAAAACTTTTGGAGTGGAATCTCCGGAGCCAGACGACAACGAGAGATATCACTCGCAAAATCGCAATAAAAGAAATAATGAAACTAATGTCCAAGAAAAACGCCGATATTATGCCGACTCGTCCAAACGCAATAACTCAAACGAAAAACAAACTAGACCGAGTTACGAAAGTATCGATTCGGACATGGATAAGCGTCGAGAGGGCCGCAACAGCCGCAGATCAAATTCGGAATCGGAAACCCGCGATAAAATCAAATATTACGACTCGACCAATGATGAGTTATCAGACGCCGTCGAGAACAGACAGATTATTCCACGGACAAAACTAACCAAGAGCAATAGTAACCATTCCGACTCCAAGTACGAGGAGAACGGACTGATGGAGTACGGTGAGACACTGCAGAAACGCCTGAAAAAACTAGAATATGGGACTAAATACGACGAAAAGTCGGCACATAACGGCAACATGTATGGGCCTTGGTATGATTTATGGGGCCTTGACGCTTCCGCTAGAAAATAACTTTTTATCGTTTCACTCTTGACTCTTGAATTATTTGCATGTCTTCGATTTCATTGCACGTTTTACGGTTTTGGCTCTTTTTCAGGTCTAATAACTTTGCCACCATAAAGCTGCGCAAAACTAATCCTAACACAGATCGAAATGCTTCACTTATCCTAGAATAGATTGGCTTCACTACTATTTTCGTTGTTCACCAACATCAGCTAGTCTTAATTATTACTCTAGACTCATTTTGTATGTACGATTTTACTTGCATGTATTTTAAAATATATTGTTATTATGTTACTTTTGTATATAATTATTATATTTGTTATTATAATATATACGCACTTTTATTATATTTTTCATATTTCTCAACATTTTTTGTACATATCTATTTTTGGTGGTTGGGATGGTGCAATAAGGCTTGAATGTATTACAAACTAACTGTATTTGCTTTGTAATTTATTCTATCTAAAGTTTATAATTTTCGATAATTGTTAAGTTGAATACCGCCAGCTCAATCCCTTTTAATATGAAAACATTTTTAGGGGCTAGTGAAATCAGAGACTGTGATAAACTTAAAACTTTTTGTAGTGTGTTTTACTAACGCAATTATATTAGTAAAATTTAAAAAAATAGTAAATCAATTCATTAATAAATGACTCAAATAGATACATACATATTATACATTGCCACTTTTTGAATCATTAATCTTTGAAAAATATTTTATTGTATTATGCTGACCGTCCATTTTGTTACGTTTAGTCATAACATTAGTATTATAATAATGGAAAATTGATTGTATTAACATATTTGTAAAAATATTATATATTACCTCGGAATATATAAAGGCAGGGGTTCTAGATTAGGACTTGAGTAAATGTACCAGTCTACTTATTCGTATATTTATTAGATTAAATTAGCACTATACTCGTAACTATAATGTCTATTGTAAAACTGACATACAAATAACTTGGTTTTATATAAGAACAGCAGAATTATTATTGTTGTACTTAAAATGTATATCAATTCATATAAATAAAGATTTATATTGTTTTCTAAGTTTTATTTCCATTATTTTTGTATTTAATTCATTAAAATAAAAGATAAGTCTGTCGGACTAACAAGATTTTACGTTGATTTGAATATTAGTCTTTGGAAATTGAATAAGTATATTATGCGTTTTTATATTTTTTGTATTTTAACGCCAATATAAATAATTTATCTTTAGTTTTAAATTTCAAAATTGTCAGTTTTCTAATTTGTTTCTTTTTATTTCGGCGCTAAATAATTTAAAACATCTATTTCTAGGCATCTACTGTCACATTAATAGCTTATTAATTAACGTTAATTATTATTACTGAAAGCTATGAGAAAATCTTGAATTCGTTCAGTTTCCGTAAAGGACATAATCCGCTTTGAAAAATCCTGTTAGGAAGCTTATCAAGACCGCCTGTTACAGTTTCCTGGCGATTAAACAATCATTCGACGTCATCAGTGAGATGCACTGATGAATCTAATCCCGGACGACAGTAAACGCTGAAAGAGAAGGAAATCTAGACAGGAAACAAATTATTGTACTCAGTAAAATTTATTCATGTTTCCTTAAAACAAATTTCCATTTGAAAGAAGAATTAAATTAGACACACAAGTTGTCTTCGGATAAAAAGATTTTTGCAGATATAAGAGACAGCTGTGACAAAGACGCACAAAACTTAGGACAAATCAGATGTCCTTACTGAAGATCCTATCGTGGGTTTCTCGACGTTTATTACTTTTCTGAGACGATTGTAATTTAAACCGAGGAAAGGAATTAGAAGTTTTAGCTTCAATTTAGAGTTTTAGATAATATAACATAATATAACGTATTCATGGTTGTTCATGAGAAGGGCATTTCTAATTTTTTTGTCGCAACCCATTACACATATTGCAACATTTTAGCATCTATTTAGAGTTTTAGACTAGAAAATATTTTTAATCGCATTTACAAGTACCTACATTTGAGTGCAAAAAAAACGCAAATTGATTTTTTTTATAATGTAATTTGGCCTGTTAATAAATGCCAGGTTTTTGACGTTGTCACAATTACTCTTGTAAACTCAATCCGGGGACATACTGTATCTATATTTGATATTTAATTGAAAAGAAATAACATATTTCATTTAGTATTCGAGTTAGTGTCATTAGTATTGCTGATTGCGCCAAAAAATTCAGAAGTCCTTACCCCTACCGTGAATAACACAATGAAAATGGTTGACTTTCAACATCTGCAACCAATACTACATGACTACATGCTGTTCGGCGTGAGTATTTCCACATTCATATTTCAGTGTGGTGGCGCTGGTAATTTTGAAGCTTCAGGTTCTCGAAAAATTACTTTTTATACAAGTAGAGGAAGTTACAAGTTTCCACAAGCTAAAATAATGAAAACTGTACTACAATGTTAATGTTTTTGTATTCAGTTGAATAGAAATTTGGGAGAACCCTACGTTCAGAATGATTAATTCGCTTTACTTTCCATAGAGGACACTAGCAAAAATAAATTTTGCTCTTTATAATAATCAATAAAGGAATCCCTAACGATGGATATAAGTGAACGAATGTAAGTTTTGGAAATGCAGAAATGTATTTTCTACATAAAGTATTAACTGCAGTGTCTAATAAAATATAGCGAAATCACGTGAATTAAAATTTTCACTCTTTCCACAATATACATATATAATTTAATTTAAATAGTTTTGGTCATTGTGTTTCCCATATACCAATATATAAGTTGTTTAAATAAAATTTTCTTGCTTAATAATTTTGTTATATGTAAACAAAAAGCAAAAACATTTAAAAGTAATTTAAAAGGCTACAAATAGAAAAAAAATCACCTCTACCTAAAGATAGGTTTTAATATAAGTTATTCGATACAAAAACATGTTAATTTTATTTAGACGTGTTCCCTTGTTAAAGCAAAAAAAATGATCATTTTGTACGTCTTCTATAGGTGCTGAAACTTGTCTTCGTTTTAGTGCAATAGTTTTTGATATTTATGAAAATCTTTCATTGAAAATGAAGTAGCAAACAACAGCCCAGCAATACCATGTGTACACATCTAATTTTAATCACAAATTTATTCTGTTTTGATAGGTAATAATTTTTTTGTACACCCCCATTGAGATACGTTTAGACCCGGGAAGTTCTACATATTTTTCAGAGTGTTTCGTGTTTTTAAAAATTATTATATTTTAAAAGCTATGTAATATTATGATGTGCTTCCAATGGCTCGTAAAAATTCCCCTAAAACAAGAGATGAAAATACGCCGTTTCGATCTCCAGAGGTACGAGTTACTTTACTACTTCGTCGCCTTCACTGACTCTGCCTATGTTTCTATCACGTGTTTTATTAAAATTGATAAGTTGAATACAATACATCATTGTCATAGTACTCCGGAAAAACTCTTCAATTGTTTATAAAATTGATCAAACGATAATTATTATAACTGATGTAAATTATAATTAAACAACAACAAAAACAGTAGGTAAAGGTTTTCCGGAAATTTAAAGATTAAATGTCATCGTGCTAGAACACATCAGCCTTGAACGTCGTCGAATTCGACGCTGGATTGGGCGTGGTGACAACAACAACCGGATTAAAACCTGAAATATATCATTTCATGCGAAAATCTCTAAAACGTAAATTGGAAAAAAAAATATATGGTTATTTAGAACGTCAACCATGTATAAACCATGTTTCAATGTGATCAGTGATCACTTGCAACATCATTACAGGCACAAAAAAATGTATTATTTCTGATGTAGAAGATAGCAAATTATGTAGGAAATGGATTGAATGTCAAAAGCCTGTTTAGGCGTGTACAAAATTTACTGGATTAATTTATATTGCGAGTAGGGGATCAACTACAATGGGCGAGTATAAAAGCAATTCGGACATCTTTCAAAGCGTATTCATTTTTGAAACCTACGACGTTAGAAAATTATAAAATGAAGGTGAGTGTAGCTTGTTCTTTTAATTAATTTAACTTGTTTGTTTTCTCCCTCTTGTATTTTTTCTGACACAATTAAATAATGCTGCTACTGCCACTAACAAAAAATTGGTAGCCGGTGTCGCTTGTCACAGTTAATTTTTTTTTATTTCATGAAATGAAATAAAACCGAAGTTTTTATTCTAACTGACTGTTGAATAAACTGTTACCCCTGGTATTTATTTACTTGTATTGTACTAATTTCAAATTGTGATTACATTGAACTGAAATTTGTCTGTAGTTGTTTTTATAAATTTTGTCATTAATTAAACATAGTTTGAATGTTCAATATAAATAATATACCTCTAACAAAAGCAGTAGCTAAGTACCAATTACTCCAAAAATCTCTTACAGGGAAAAAAATACCATAGGTTTACTTTCAGTCACTAAAATTAGGTTATTTTTTTTACTCTCAGCAATAAATAAAAAAATAGTAGCTATGTATACAGTAAAGCATCTAATTGATTACAAAAAGTTCCAATTTTTAGTTGCAATTTTCCTAATGGTACGGAAAGAAACAAAGAAACAAGAGAGTACTATCAAATTAGCTTGCCTAATGAATTAATAAGTGTATTATACACTGCAGATGGCTGTTGCAGCAATTCGGTAATTATGGAAATGAAAATGAAACTCATTGTCTGTATTTATGGCACAATAACCAATTATATTAAGAATTCTAATGTAAAAATATAGTATTTTCAGCACCTAATCCTTTTATACAAAATTATTTCATTTAAGAAGTAATTATTCTAAGCAAAGTAAATTTGGTGCAGTTGCCTTCCCGTTAATAGTTATTTATGTTGCCAGTTAAAAAATGAGAAATTTTATGTCACCAGTGCATTTTCAAAACGAGCGTAGCGAGATGCAAAAATAACCTTTATTTACAAATAATACAATACAATAGTACAATTTTTTTCTAATTTTCTTAAAAATTGTATGAGATTCTTGATGAAAACCAAAATCAAAAAAGCCGAGAAATTAAAAATATTTCATTACTTGTTATAAAAGATTTATTTTTATTTTAATATGTAATTCCATACAACTAATTCAGTTTTTAAAAGTATTTTTTAATTAATTTTTTTAATTCGTACCATTTTCAGGTTTCACTTGCTTTGTCAGTTGTTCTCGCCATCGGATTCGTCGAATGTGGTGTTATTCCCGCCACCACCCTCGTACGCACCCCTAGCTTTGACAGTGCTATTGTCAAGTCTGACCGTGTCGGCGGCAGTTTCGCTTATAGCACCGTTGAAGGCCATGCCTACGCTGCCGTTTCTCCCATAGTTCAACGTATCACCGCCCCCGTTGGCGTCTCTTATACCGCACACCAAGTACATTTGGGCCACATCAACACCCCCGTCGCCGTTACACAACCCATTTACGCTGAACACTCTGTAGTCTCTCAACCCATTATCTCTCATCAACACATCTTCGCCCACCCGGCCGTAGTATCTTCTCCTGTCTTCACTCAAAATCCCGTCATCAGCGGCTTCCCGAATATTCCTGCAATCAGCGGTGTCGCCACTTCTCCAGTTGGAGGAATCGCTAGTGCTCCCGGAGTTGGAGGAATTGCAAGTGCCCCCCCTGTACAAGCTAATCCTGCCCCCACACCAGTCCAAGGAACCGTCATTGATGCTGATACCGTTGCTGTAGAGTCTGCTTAAATTTAGATAATTAAACAAAAAATAAATAAATTATTTATTTCAAATTAGTTTTATGTAATAATGAAAATGCTCTGAATGTTCACTTTATAAATTTTCGTAAAGTTTAAAAGTGCATAATATCGAATTTTTCAAATGAGAGAAAAATTGACAAAATATAGTTTTACATGAAAATTGATGTAGTTTTGTTGGTTACAAAAAATATTAAAACTCTCATATTTTTCGGTTTGCTGGCTTTATTGCTGACAGAAATAAATACGTCGTAATTAATTTCAGATTGAAGCTTTTTAATACAATACTATATTTCCATTTTGTTATTACAGGTAAATCATTTCCTCATGACACGTACACAATGAACTTGAGTGGAATATCAATTTCATTCCAGCTATGTTTTCTATAGTCAGATGAATAAATAACAAACATTGTATGCATTATTCATCTTCCTTGCGATGCTACATCTCGAAATCAATTTCATGTAAAATTTTCAGGATATATGCCCTTTCATTTATGGGTTAAAAGTACCGTTTTACTAATCTTTGCACGTTGCAGTTTGAAGTATTTATTAACTGAGGATTGCTAGCTTGAGGATTTGACTTTTTGGATTAAATTTCCGCGTGCGTTTTTACCAGTGAAAATTTCCGTATTTACAAAAAGAAAATTGTAATGAATTTGAATCAGCAATAACAGGGTATTTCATAAAGCAGACAGTGATTCTTTCAAGTATCTATTTATATTTGCATGACTACTCTAATATTTTTGATAATCACATAACCCTCTCAAAAGTATGATTTAAAAGCACTTGAACTTTAATAATTACATAAATCATCTCAAAAGTATGTTTTAAAAGCACTTGAACTAGAATTACAAGTACTTACCAAAGTCAAATAAATGTTTGTTAGTTTGGAATCTACAATTTGGATTTGTTCAATTTATCTGATATTTTTTTCTTAATTATTGATGCTTTTGACGCAAATTTAAGCTCAGAACATTGGTATTGACTCGATTAAATATGAATTTTAAATACCTCTTTTCATACTAAAGCATTTTTCTTGAAGACTATGTAAACTATAATAAATTTCTCTTCAAAAGATTTTCAGTTAGCGATATAGAGAAGAGCAATTTTGTATCAGAAAAAACAACTACAACATGAACATTAATAAAGGATAATAATATGTTAAAATTATTGATCTTCGAATTGACAAACTACAATGCGGTATCTGATTCTGAAAAACTGAAAATAAACGTCATTGTCTGCAACGAAAATAAATTATGAAATGAATTTCGCACAATATGGATATTAAAGTTTCGGCCAAATGCTAAGGCTATTAAAAGCATATTTAGCAGAGTTTAATAATGTTTAATCTTTATATTCAGTGATTAAGTCTTCATTAGTTTCTCTCACGTTATTACACTACGTTTAGTAGGAAACAAGTGTGGTAAAAACAGTAATATTACAGTACTTAATTTAATTCATTAAAATTCGTTTAACAGAGTTACATATTTTACTTCATGAAAAAAGCCTTCCTTGTTGTTTTCCTTAACACATTTTTAATTAATTTAATTAATTAGTTATACAATTTTTGTTTATTTGTTCAGAAGAAAGAGAGTGTCACTACATGCGAATGAGTTATACCGGATAAAAATTTATCGCAGTGGAAATTTTAAGGCATCTTGAATGTGCTCTTAAGAGCATCTGAATAAGTTGTGGACGCAATCACGATTTGTGTTTAAAAGCAGAACATTTTCTTGAAATGTCCGTACGTTGGCGGTATTCAAAGGCAGTCAACCAGAGATCGTAACAGGCCACGAAAGAGACGCACCATTACAACTGTTGGGGGTGTCACATGACTGTGGCATGGGTCAAATAAAAGGTACATTTACTTCACGCCTTCTGAACACGTCCTTTAAAGGATCATTAAGTAATGAACTTCAGGAAAAGTGCTAAAAAGCCAAAATCTGCAGATTAGTTTCGGTACTGCCGTCCCCTGTATTTCACCGGCGACTAATTTATTTTATTTGCTTAAATTCAACGGCAATCAATTTAATGTGGTCGCTTTTATTGCATTCAGCACACGTAGGCTTTATTTCTTTTTTTCATTTAAGTTAATTTCTTCGAAAAATTTATTGGTTCAATTTTGTGACTTGCAGAGTTTCAACTTTCTAATTCAAGCTGATATTCCATGTTTCAGCAAATAGTGAATATCGTTTCTATTAATGGAATTTGGAAAGGCGAATTAAATCATCAGAAATAAGATCTGACTTTAATTTAAATTATCACATGTGGCGAGAAGTTTTCTTAATTCGATAAAATACATTGCAGAGTGTGGGAGATTTTAGACAACATATAATCATTCACAAAGCTCTGTGGAAATTTAGCTTGAAAGCGTAATCCGAGTGAATCAAGTCGGAAAAATAATTCTCAGGTTTTACAGCTCAGCCGCAGCAATTGTACTTGAGCACTTCGCCATCGAGATAAGTAAACTGAAGTTATTATCCTACTCCATTATTCTTGCTTACCGTCCTTATATTACAAAAAAGAGAAAATAAAGGGCCTATTTCGAACTCTCGGCTAATGCGTATCGAATTTTAAATAAGTCTTTTGTTTCCAGGCGTTTCATTGTAAATACGCCACCCTCAAATATATCTTGTTATTGCTTTTTGCATGCTGATGCATTTGTCAATAGAAAATAGAATAAATGAAAATGAGAAAATCTTGCGAATTTATAATCTTGGCCAGTTTTAGTATTCCACTTTTTCTTTAGCACCATATAAAAAAATACAAAATAAATGTTGATACATCTTTGTGATCTGCGTTAACTAAATTGCGTAATAACAGTGTCGAGAGGTTTGTAATTAGTATAATTTCTTGCTCGCATTTGCAATTTAACGTTCTTGGTGAACGTCTGATGACAGACGTGCAATTTAAATTGAATAACACTGAAGTAATAACAACGAGAGGAATGTTTTATAGAGGAGAAGATGTGAAAATGCTATACATTTTTGTTTATTTATGTAGGGAGAAATGTTCATACATAATAGAGAAGTGTGCCTGAAAAAAATTGTTTTGGATAAAACACTACACAAAAAACTACAAACAAAACGCATAATAAATAGGGCTGCATCTGACACCATGTGGTTTTTCTATGTAGAGTTACTGTTGTAAATGCTATTCAAAATTTAAAACAGCCAGCTTAATTATTCAATTCGGGAATTACATAAATTTAAAAACAACGCGAAATTCAAGTTGCAGCTAAATCCGAGAAAATTCATTTATTGGTGAAAAATTAAAATTTAGTATGTTGAATCCAAAGTTTTTCAATCAACATTTTCAGGCAAATTTTATTAATCCGCAGGCTCCGATTGCGGAAAGAGTAATTTGTCTTTAAATTAGCCAATAAAAATTTTAACTTTGTGTTTATTCAGTTTGATTAGTTTGGAGACGGGACTATTGTGGCAATTAATTTCGGTAGAAGATGTTTGATAAAAGTCACAAAGGGAGGAAACAATAGATTTAATCTTTTTATCTTTTGGCGCTCAGGTGTGACGTAAAAAATCCAATAACGAAATTAAAATGGGTAAGAAGCTCTCGAATGTAAAATGATTCCCGGAAGATTTATAAAAGGAACTCTGGAGAAATAAATGTTATCTTTTAACAAATTTTCTTTAATTAAACGTTTTATACTGTGGCTAATTAATGTTTATTTTATCGTTGATAAACGATGTAATTTAATTATTCACTCGATATCTCATCCCAAATGGTGTTTAGCGTCGTTAGAGGGTTTGGAACTCGGTCCCTTATAAACATATCACAACCTAATTTATTACCTCGCTTTTACAGTAGTCGAATAGAATTCTAATTAGAACGAAAATAATTAAATTCACCGTTTGGAAATTTTAATATTAAATCTATTAGGTATGTTTTAATATCATTCAAAAGGTTGATTTTTTACACACGCTTTAAGAAAATTTGAATCCGGCTAAATCGCTCCTCTAAATCTGAGCTTTGACATCTTTTCAATTACTTAACTGCATAAGTTCATATTACTCACACCTCTTGAAACATATTTTAGATGGAGAAAAGAAAAAGCAGTAAATTTAAATTCTTATTTCAGGGCTTCTGACTTTAAATATGTCACTCAGCGCAATATCCTCAACGGGCTCACAAACTTCAGTATAACTTTGGTAAACGAGAAGTGTGACCCCATCGTGATTTTTCAACATCATTTTGTTTCACCCCTTACTTAAAAGGCAAACCATGTTAGGAAAACATTCGAATTTTAGATATTGAGATCAAGCGCGACAGCTTTAGAATAAAAGACTTTCGTCAAAGAAAATTCCAGCGTTAAAATGGAAAGATTTCTGCCATTTATCCTCTTAATTAACATAGTCTTTTTAACTATCAAAACTTTTAACTCCAAGTTTCAAGCACAATTTGTTTGTCTTGATAGCAATTTTACATTAGTGTGATTCATTTTCAAGTATTAATTTAAAACCTTTCAATCAAAGTGAACTTGCACTTAATCGGAACGCGCATAAAAACCGCCTTAGTGCGAACTTGGACAAATATCCGGTCTTTGATTCATTAATTAACAAAACTGGTTTTTAGAATTTTTTAAGCAATTTCTCTTATCATCACTGGCAAATTAATTAGCGTATGCTAAGAATGTCTTCGTTACGGGTTGGATACCCTTAATCATTTTTTTCTGTTACGATTTCTAACATTTCTTACATAATTATGTGACTATATTACGTAAATTTTTGTCTTAACATATAATATTAACTCCATGTAGAAATACACTCAGATTAAGCTTTAACGACAAATAATTCTTGTTGTTAATTCACTAATAAAATAATAACACAAATTCTGTAATAACATGCACAAAACTTTAAACATAAACAAAAAAATTTTGTTTCATATAAGTTATGATCATAACAAGTTAACACTTCACTTAGAAATTAAAAAAAAAACGCTTTCATTAACACTATAGACTACTCGTATAGTACACAGTAAATATATTCACATTTTTTAGAATATATTAGCCTGTAGATAAGTAGGTACAACTTAGATAAACAGAAAAACGTAGCAGTTGCCACGTGTGTATTATTCTTACACCAGTGTTATTAATTATTATTATGCGAAAATAATAGTATTACATAAGTGAACTAAGCAATTTAATAGTTTTAATGCAAATTTTAGATTATTTAAATAATTTGTTAAGGTAGAGGGCATATCATTAGACTCCATAATTTGGCTAACTTTCACTGTCATTTAAAAAAATTAGAGTAATCGCCAGAAAGTGTCTCCAGACAAATATCTACATATATTATCTAAAATGCTTATAGTATTATAATATCTATTTCAAAACCTTCTGTTTATAAACTGTGAGCAAAAAATGGCAAATTATAAAACACTAAAAACTTTTGCCCTAAAAGATCATTTCGGTTTTACAATTGTTAGTATTCTCGAAGAAAATATATGGAAACAAACGAGTAGTTTTCTGATTTCTGAAACAATTAATATGTGGAACATTTTTAGAACTGCTCTGAAGGTAATAACTGAAAAAATTCTGCAACAAAATTATTACCCAAGCATTTTTTAACTTAAGTTTGAAGAATTTTTTGGCGTGACACTCTATGTCGCTCTGAATATTTAAAGGCATGATAGTTATTCGTTTGAACAATTATTTGTTAGAAAACTAGGAAACGCATCCGCATAAACTGTAACCAATTATCGATAGACAATTAAAAACTAATAAAAATTTGGAATGCATCATACTAGAAATTTGTTTAACGGTATAATCAAGTTACGCTTGAACTTTCGATAAAAATGAGTTTTGGAATTTAATAATTTTAATAAAAAAATCTTCAAATTAATTACGCTTTTTCTCACAATATATAGAGCAATGGCGTGCACTTAAAGATGATGAAAAAATCGCTCGCTAACGACAATACGGTGACCCTACTATTGCACAACTCCTTTCTCCATGGCACAACAGGAAAGTTCTTCAGAGTAGGGCAAGCGAACGTATAAATACTAGTAATAATCAGCACTTGTTACCACCTTATATTGTGAATTTATCGCGTAAATATACTAAACAAGATGAAATTAACAGTTTGTTTATTATTTGTTTACGTTACGGGAAGTTTCGCATATCCTGTATCGCAGCCAGCTTACCCAGACACTCAATACATTAGTGCACAAGCAATACCTGCTGTTCAATATAGACAACAACAGCAACAGCAACAGCAACCTCAGGCTTATTTGCAGCCACAGTATATTTCCGCCCCTGTGCAAACACAGCAAGCTGCAAAACCAGTGTACGAAACCATCAAAAGTCTAGGACTACAAAAGTTCTCCACGCAAATCAGACAACCTATCCAACAAGTGCTGCTGTCCACCAACGTTGACAGACAGGTAAAAACGACCCTTTCTACATTTCAAACGCAGACAATTTTATTCAATCACCTGTTTTTTTTCACACCAGATAAAATGAAAAACAACAGGCACTTAATTTCTTCTCGCAAAAAGAAAATAATACACAAATTAATAAATCCTGTAAGCCAAATCGTCTTATCTTTTTTTACTTTACGACAATATTAGATACATTAGCTGCAAGCAAATTATTTTTTAACTAGACTTATCATAAGGTTATTATTAATATTTCCATGTTTTAATTTTATAACAACATCTGTGGTATTGTCAAGTTTAAAATTAATTTAAGTTTTATCCACTAAAACTTTTCACTAGTGAATCATTTTAGATACAAAGGGTGGCACAGCAAGCAGGACCATATTTCCTTCAGCAAATACAAGCTGCGCAGCAGCAAGGTCAAGCTCAACAAGCTTTGGATGCGGCCCAACGGAAAGCCACGTCTCAGACACTCAGTAGACAGATACAGCCATTACCTCTACCAGTACCTCAACAACAACCACAACCACAACCGCAACCACACTACTTACGGGTGGTTCCCCAGCCAGCTCCAATTAAGTACCAGCCAGCCCCAGTTAAATACGCTGCTCCTGCAGCTCCAGGTTACCGACAACATATACAACCCCAATACCAACAACAACAACAACAACAACAACAACAACAGCATCACGAAGAACAACAAAACCCTGAAGATTACGATGTAAGTAAAGGATATTTCAGTTGCATATTATGCGATTATGCGCTCGTCCTAGCTGCCGATGTTATCTTTGTTTTCTAGAAAGCGCTTTAAAGAATCGATTTTATCGAACTGAAAAATTGTGAAATGTGACTGGTTTATTTTAAACCAACACTTCGATGCTCCTTCGAACAACACGCCGCTTATAAATTTTAGGTTTTATCTAGAAGACTAAAGAATTCAGTTGTGTTTATCCTTCAGTTTAAATGGCTTAAAAAACAAACAAATTTCCTAACTAAGTGTATAAATTAAGTCATACGTCAACATGGAGACACGGGAATGCTCCTTTACTTTTCTTTGTATGACAAGTGTGGTTTTTTGTTTTGTTTTAATTCTATTTATTAAATCAAGAACACTGTTTTATATACCTATTAGAACCCATCAGAATTGTAGGAAATGTAAACTGTTGGATGAAAAAATTAGATGCATTATTGACATTGGTATACTACAGACCAAGGTTACATCGTTATAGTCACTAAATAAATATATGCACAATTGATAATTTATATTTTAACGTAAGATGACTGAAATAACAAAACAGTGCAGTGTACTTTATAACCGCAACGAATACTGCAAATTTATAACTATGTTACCTTAAAATTATTAATTATTACTACAATAAACAAATTTTTAACACAGGAAAACATTTGGACGCTGTCAGTGTTATTGTCAAATTTGTAGAAGTATTTTTATTTGCCCCCAAATTATCGTTATTGACAACATTTATCTCGTAACCTTGACCTACTTTATTTATACAATGGTATTTATTTTTTATCTATATTTAATATATTTAGAATGAATGCCTAAAAATTATAATGCCCACAATTTTTTATATCTAGTTTTCTTTTTGGACCCAATGTAAAGTGAATTAATCTGCGACGGTCCTGTGTAAGTTTGATTATTTGAACGTTTTTATTTGACAAAATTCATAAAAACATAAGAAGTTTTACACAAACTTGCTATGTTACTAAAGAAAATGAATAGAACACAAAGTTGGTTTTCTGGGCGACTAATTGCAGTACGAGTATAAGCCAATTATAAAAATAAAACTAAGGTATGTACACATGCAACCTGTTCTAGATATTTACGTACGTATAAAGAAAGTAAAGCAACTTCCCAAGAGCAAGATATCAACACTAAGTTGCAGGTAGAAAGTGAATATTTCTGAAAGTCAAAATTCTGCGTAAATATTAAAATCACCCTGTATGTTTGTCTAGCTTTTCTTTATCATGCTAAAGGATTATGTTATGAGATATGAAACAAATTAACTTTAAGTATTTTCTTTCACATTTATGTAATTACTTAATAGTCAAGTTATAAGACTAATACGATTCAAATCAGGTAATAGTCTAACTACAAGTATAAACATTAATGGAATTCTTGAATGCTATTACTAATTATTATTGAATCAATTGAATCGTAATTGATACAAATATTCAAATTAATGTTTCCCTTTTCCATACGTGCATACGCTAATGAAAGTGTACTGCTTACTAGAAAAAAAAACATTACTACTATTACTACATCGTGTCTCTGTCATCGGTGACAAACTTATTGTATTCAAGGCTACAAAATTTCTTGTTTCTGTCATTTTTTAGGTTTAAATGTTGCTTTTGTTGACAGATATACCCATAGATATTTATTTTTCTGATGGTAATACACATAGTGAATTGGAGATTACGATTCCATTTCATAGTTGATCTACATTTGATCCACAGACAATTAATAATAAACATTCTGTATAATAATTAGTAATATAACCAACACTAAGGATTATTTACTATGTGATTAAATACTAGCAGAAAGGAAAAGAAGAAATAGACTCGTATAGACTAATTGAAACTGGGAAAAATGCATATATGATTATTTTCTCTAAACTTGACTAGATTATAAAAACTCAAGTATATCTGGGGCAGATTAAAATATTAGAGAAGGAACAATACAAATATTTTTTTCACTATCTGTATGTTCATGTGTGTGTTGTTTATTTATTGTCATGCTACTATTATGACGTATGGTATCAAAATTAAGTGATTTTTATGTTTTCGAAAGTAAATTAATTTTACGATGAAACCTAACACAAATGTAAAAAAACTTACATCAAGTGGAATTACAAATTCTGTATATTTCTAAATAACAACTAGATCAATACTCGTAAGAACTGCGTATATTTTTTTGATAATCATTCAAATTTTATTTTGTAAATACAAAAATAAGTGACAAAATCAGCATTAAAACAATAGTCGATTATTCGGTTTTACCAAACATTAGGAAATTTACTATCTCTGAATCCACATACATTTCGGGAATAATCTCTTCCGGGATAGCGAGTATTACATATAAAACTCCTCTCACAATTCCTGATCCTTTCAAACTTTCACTGAGTTTAATTCGATTAACATTTTTTTATTTTTTTACGAAACGAACTTACCGTGATTAAAATTCAGTAAATGAGTGGAACAAATCGGCCTCCGTCGATAGTTTGATTAGTTGATCAATAAGAAATTTATCAGCAGGTAGACGATAGCAAGTCAATCCCAAATTGTAATCCGCAATAACACTTGAAGGATAAAGGGAGCTTTCATGTCGAGATGAAGTGCCGCGCATTAGGAATGTTCGAATTGAGCTGGAATTGATTAATTTCTAGGTCATAGCTGCTTTAATTGTTAATATGCCGTTTGGGATTAATTGCAGTGTTCATACCTGGCTCTATACTTGAAAGATAATTCCCAATACATAGCGGAGATTAAACTCGTGACAATATTTTTTAGTCATTAAAGTTAAAACGATAAAATAGTAAAGTTTTGCTGTTTCTAACGCGTTTGCTACTTTCAGTAATTTTTATTGTTATCCGCTGGCGGAACTAGCTCCTAGTTTTTGAATGGGCCAAAAAAAAAATTAAAATTCAAAACAATTCATAAATAATTGTTTTCTTAAGACTGGTTGGGTTTCATTTAATTTTGGCAATTAGCAATTTGTATAAAATTATTTTTGTAATTAAATTATAAAAGATAATTACTCACCCAATAAAGAAAAATTCGACGATTTTGATGAGATGAGTCAAATTCGCTCACTAGTTATCAAGATCCATAGGAGCCTATTCTGGGGAAACTTAGGTTTTCTCATTTATAATTTTTTTAGTTTTAGCCCTCTAATTCCGCCACTGTTGTTATCTGATGAAATAGCCAGATTTCAAGATTCTTTGATTACGTACTTGTATCCTGCTCAGCTAAATGAGAATGCCGTAGAATTTTGATTATGTAACATTCCCAATCTACACTTACGGTAATTAAACTGACATTGCTGTCCGCCGCCAATTTTCAGCTTTAGCTTTACGTAATGCGTCCGTTCCTTATCAATTTGAAAGCTGGGTTTAGAAAGAAAAATGTTGAGTTTATACGTAAGTCAGTGACCCGCACAAATCGTTGATTAAAAATCCACATGCCAATGCAAATAAAATTTTCATAAGTATAGTGAATTTAGAAGTGTATTAACAATAATTCTGCATGAGAGAAAACATGCAACTACACAACATTCACTTTTATTAAACCGTAATAACGCTAATCATATCAATTGAGTTGCAGCGCCAGTTTTAATTGGTCATTCCAAAAACGAAGAGTCGGAAGTACTCGGTAATAGTTTTATTGCACGTTTCTGTTGTATTTAAATTTAACGGGAAATTAAACCGGAAGTACAGAATCAGATTTACGATTATTCCGCTAAACATAAAATTAAATTTGGCCAGCCGCTCTTGGACTTGGTTTTATTTGAAGGAATGAAACGTTTTATACCTTTTTCCAATTCTGTTGATTGCGTTTTTCAAATTTACATATGTTTTAGTGATGCTAAACGTTTTATAGCAAAGTATTTTAACATTGGTGTGAAAGGAAACGAGCTGCTTGTGGATACAAGAAATACTGCTACACTTTCTCCGCGTATCAATGGCCTGCGCTACATTTAATTATCGTTTTATTTGAAAACAAATCAAATGTGGGAAAAATCTCACTTTGTTATAGGTGTATTCCTTGATTATGACAGAAAGCAAGAAATATATACTTTTACTCTTATAACTTTTTAAAAAAGTTTATTATTTTATAGTTAGGTACTTATTGAGGGTTTCAAAAATGAAATTTTTGTGTTTTTTACTTTAGTTTTAATTAATTCTTTAAACTCCTGAGTGAAACAGCGCAATTTTTTGGAAATTAAATCTATCAAGGAATTATACAAGGTTTTTTAGAACTCGCGCCCCAGACATAATCCCAAATAAGATAAGATACCAAGTAGGTAGGAGTATGTATATACATACATGAAAAAAATGTTAAAAAAAATGCTGTCTAGAAGAATTTAGAAATTGTAAGGTTTAAATTTTGTACTTTGACCATATTTGTTTTTGTTGGGAAAATAATTTTAGCCAAAATTTCGGAAACATTAGAGAGAAAGATTGTATTGAGTTTTAGGGCTAACGCGCCCATTATCTAGAACCTAATTAACAACTACAAACACTTTAAAATGCATTGTTACATAAAAATTCATTTTAGCTCTTCATAAACATAATATACTATTTTTACGTTTATGGTACCTTATCTTACATGGCATTTCTTTGAAGTGCGAGTTATGAATTATCTGTAGAAGAATTGTTACTCATCAAAAAATTTTTTTGCTATTTAGTATTTTTAACACCAGGCTGTTTCCAAAATATTTTCAGCCTCAAGTATTTTAGAAACAAATTAGTAACCTACCAATTGCTAGAGTAATTTTTAATGGACAATTTAATAACGAATACCATTAATAGATATTTTATTGAAAATATTTCTTTAAAAATGAATAAAAATATAATATAAATATTACAATTATTGTATCCAGAGATTACTCATGTGGCCAATTTCTGTATGCATTGTTGCCAAATTCCGAATATATTTTTTAGAAGTATGTTGTAGTTGGTCATAATAAGATGAATAAACTGTAAAATTAAATTAAATAATTACATTCTAGTGCCGTAAATTTAGCATAGGTAGACCATTGTTTTAGGTGATAGAAATCAAATATTATTCACAAATAAGATAAAGTACTCACAAGTGAGTAAATTTGACTATTATATTATTTTTTTCTATTATATTTACTATTATATTTTTATAGGTGCATATTTTACTTGAATGTAACTTCATTTTTTGGATAGTTGCACCTGTAAGATAAAACGTCGTATATCACACGTGATCGAAATGCAATTATGAAACTCGTGAGAAGTGTCCCACTCGTGCGCAAGCGCACTCGTCGGTCAAAATTCTCACTCGCGTATAATGATGCATTTCTATCACTTATAATATAATGTACTATTTTGATTTTTTTAAATCTTTAATACTTAATAAAATCTAGTCCTTTCTTATTTTTGAATTTTATATTCACCTGAAATTTTACTTTCATATTATTGTATATATTATTTTTAATGTAACCCTTTTAATCTGTAACGTCGAATTATAATCTTCATAACTTGTTTCTTACTTTACCCGGCGCCTCCACCATAAAGTTGAATGTGACGGGGTGGACCGGAACAGTACTAAAATATGATTTTTTTAGTATTTTTTGTTTGTTTTTGAAAATAACTATAGAAATATATTATTATCAATACGCTTATATAGGCCTCATAATTTACGAGAATCTAATTTTTTATTTTAAACTATGTAGTATTTATATTTTTTTTATAATGCGTTCTATCAATGCGTTATCAAGTAAAAACTAACACATTTTTCTATTTTACTTTTTACTTATCGTATGACAGTTTCGTTTTTTACAACAAACAGTGGTAAACAGATAAAATCGCAACAAAATACCTAGTCAACAAACAAGTTAAATGCATACTCAAAACTAAATTTTTAACTTCAGGCCTTTGTTTGGATTAGCTTGCAGGTAAACTTCATATTAAAAGTTCTGGCTCGTTCGTAATTAACACAAAGAAGGTGCCGTACTCGGTGCTGTTTTATGTTTTTTCGTTTATATCCATAAAAAAATGGTTATACAAAATTAAGGACCTATACACTTTCTTACGGTGACGGTGTTTTTCTTTATCTCAAATAGTTTTCGATATAATCGCTAGCAAATATCGCACTCTATTTGTCAATTAGGCTAAATGAATGAACTAAATATTAATGAAATAACGTTAGAATTGTTGTAAAAGTTGTAAGCATCGTGATTGGGCCGTTTCAAGTCGGCCATTAAAATAACGTAAAAAACCAATCACTTTAGATTTTTGCATTCATTCAAAATTTGATGCAATAATGTGATTGGTCCGTTTGAGATCGGCCATTATTATAATGTGGGTAACCATGGAGAAACCAATCACTTTAGAGTTTACTTTAATTGAAAAATCTAGAAAAATTAGTTAAACATAAAAATCTGCCTTCATGCATTAAAATAATTTTAATAAATAAGTTATTTGTGTACTTATTATGCGCTCTGTGTTCTCTATTATGACTATCAGAGAATAAGGAAATAGTGAATATTGTGACGGAAAATTTGCACCTTACGTTTCGTTGTAGGCAAGTTACCTAAATACTTGCTTGGGAAGTGAACCTTTGAACCTTTAATAGTGTTTAACAGTGGTTTTACTCATACTGTGTGCTTACAAACAAAACATAATTTGGTGACAAGGCGACAAGGATACGGCTTTAAAAAAATTTTCATGCAAGAAATGAAACATAACCTCACTTTATTGGCAGGAAGGTTCCAAGGTGTTTTCTAGAAGCTGCAGAGGCTTACAGTAGGTACAATTTGCATTCTACAAGCAACATTAAGTCACAATCACTTTTGCTGTAAACTTGAAATATCCGGACCATGATACAAAGTAATGCAAAAAATTGTTTTCTTAATTGTGCGTGGGATATTTGTCACCAAATATCTTGAAAACTAGGTACCTATTTAAAACACGAAAAAACGAAGAAGTAAGCTTGTGAGAAATTTTAGGAGCTTTAATTTTTTTGAAAATATAAGAGTATGCGAGAAATTATAAAACTGCACCTCCCTAGTGCCCCTTTTCGCTCCATTTACCCCGGAAACCCGACGACTTGTAATCTTGTATTCTATAATTCTTTTTAAAGTTAACGAATAATAGATATATTTCATAGTGGCCTGCAAATGTGAATATCTTGCACAGTATTACAAGAGATTGTGGACAATTTACATTATCCACAAATACGATCTTATCGTGACAATGTGGAGATCGTTGATAAAAAAAGATTGTAGGTATATGCAACCAATAAAACGCCCAAAACAAGTATTCTAAGTATTAAAACAATTATTAGATTTAAAAAATGGGAAGCTTCAAATTTTCTTTTATTTTCTGTTGTATATCAATGTTAGAATTGTTTATAATTACAACTGTATTTAGCTTGTACAAACATTATTAATTATTATGGGCTATTATTTCAGCCAAATCCCTCATATCAGTTCGGATTCGACGTGAATGACGATCTCTACACTAACTACCAAAACCGCAAAGAACAAAGAGAAGGGGGTAAAACTACAGGAAGCTATTCAGTTGTCGATTCTGACGGGTTCGTTAGAACAGTTACGTATACTGCTGATCCTAAAGAAGGCTTCAAAGCTGAGGTAAGTTTACAACTCAATATTTTACATACTGTAATTTGCAACAGCTTTGTTTTGCGCCGATTTTAAACAAAGCATTTCGGAAAACAGAACCCAACACGATAAATTCTGGCGCTCTAATTAATTTGGTAAATGTATTGTTCGATTCCCCTGGGATCGACGTTCCACTTTTAATTAAATTTAATTTGAACATTTTTTACTCTCTGATTTTTCATTTAGTATTAACTATTTGTAGGTTACGAGGCAGCCTACCAACATAGTTGTCAAAGTACCAAAACCGGATCCACAATTTCAAAGACCGCCTCAGCACTATGTTCAGGTACGTATTTTAATAAATGTTTTGTATGCATAATACATAAATTGAACATTTTCAAAAATTGCAAAGAATCTATACAGGATGCGCCAAAACTCGCGCCCTAGAGAAACAGTAAAGTAAGATGCCAGGAAAATTTTACCTATAAAAATTTCGAAGTTATGAGGCTTTAAAGTTTGCATTTTGACTCTATATTTCTGTTAGAAAAATAATTTTCCAAGTTTTTTCGCTATAGGCTTTTAGAAGAGGAAACAAGGAAGCTGTATCCTGAATTGTAACTGTTTAATGTTATTTGTGGCTTTTATTGGCAAAATTTTTGTGGCTTTACTAACTAATAAAAAAACATATACAAGATCATAAGTATCATTAAATAGACATAAAAAATGTCAAATGTCAAAAAATAACATTTTCTCCATGCTGCTGGTATCCTATCTTACTTGAAATTTTTCTCTGGGGCGCGAGTTCTGGCACACCCTGCATTATTAGTTCCAACCTTCAATTTAAATCAAATAAAAAATACATATTACCAAACTTTCTGAAATTGAAAATTTTCATACGGGTAGTAAACTTTTTGTAATATTGATTTCTATTCGTAAATATCTAATTGAAAAGCATTAAAAAAATAAGAATAAAACGACAGCCTTTCCTTATTCTAAAATTAACATTTAACGGCCAACGACAATTTTTACATTTTCTTCATAATTTCGAAACATTCTTTATCCAATTTGGTTAAAATAATTTTAGAATTTCAGTCATTTTTTTTTAATAAGGGACTAATTTGCCAATATTAATCCGCTTTGATCTATAGTCAGTAAATTAATTTTAATGAAAACACAAGCAAGTAGTGGAAGAAAAAAGCAATTTTCAATAAATTAGGTTTGAATTATTAATAAACGCCTTTTGTTGTTTCAGTCGGCTCCAGTCCAGCAGAAAGCTCAAGCACAGGCACAACAACCTAATTTGATTCAATATCAGTACCAATAACTTTCCGATCTGAACTGACAAAGTGGCAGAGTTTTAAGTAAGCCATTGTCCAGATTATTTTAATTGTTATTATTTTTAATTATTTGTAATTAAGGATAAAAGTTTGTAATTAAAAAATTTAATAATTTTTCTAAATTATATTTTATTTTAAATAATTTAAAATTTAAAAAACAAGATGTCCAATAATAAAAACAAGAAATCTAGATGAAAAATCTCCAAGTCTTATTTTCTTATTTGTAAAGTATCTAGCGTATACTCCCCTATGACCGTTACATTTTCTCAATACGGAGTGTGCGTCAGCTTGGAGATTTATGGTTTTACACAATACAGAATCTCACTTTAAATCATTTTGGGTCTATTTTCACCCTCACGTATTTTTATTAGCGTTTTAATAAAAAGATGCTTTGGATGTAAACCCTAGTTTAATAATGAAATAAGTAATATATACATGATACAAAATTCATCAGCAAATAACTCTATCGTTAGAATTTTAAGTTTTAAATTTGCAAATGCAGTACGTTCGTTTCGTCTGCTTTGACGCAGTAAATACCAAAGTGTAATTGCATTCTTATAGCCCCATACATTTACAGTCGAGCAAATCCTTTGTGGAAGGAATATTTTCCTGTAAAAAGGCAATTATATTTTGTGTGTAGGATTAGACCTGGAATTTTCTGTGTGAACGCGTTGGTCCCAATATTAGCATTTAAAAATACACGATATGGTAATTTTTGCAACAGTATTGATTTTATCTGATATATCTTAGGTCAAAAATACTAGAGTGCAAGGAATGCTTTATTGAATTTTGTTGAAAGTAGCGCATTGTAATGTTTTGTATGTCTGGATTTAAGAAACAAATCCCATAAATTTGTACTGGAGAGTATGGCTCTAGCAGTGAGTGCAAATAAAGGTTGGAATCTCTTGGGCATGCTAAAACGAGATCTGGAGAATTATATTTTATTACTGCATTGCTTCGACGAATCAAATCCAGAGCACAAATTTAAACAAAATGTAAAAGTAAAAATATACCACGTGAATCAGATTGTGAATCAGAGTAAAAACACGCAAGGCAAATCGACGTGGAAAATTGCACTTAAGAATTACACTCAAAACTTTTCCGCGAATTTTTTCGAGTCTTGATTACAATCCTCTCAACGGTCTGAAGTTTAAACAAAGCATTTTTATTTAGCTTCCAGATTCAACTACAGCTTAAACTCGCAAGTATAATGAAAGAAGTAAAACAATGACAACAACTCCCATTCAAAAAGCGAAGCTGTAAACAGACACCTCACTCATTTTTACACATCATTACAGTTTGAAACTTTCACAATTTCCGAGAAATTTATATAGTCTTGCAAGGTCTTTGTCATTTCGCAATTTCAGAGTAAATGTACTGTAAATTTTTGCAAGCGTTTTTTCTAATCCCTCTCGAAAAAATCTGACGCACCGACGATTAAAAACACTAATTTATACAAACTTTCCAGTAGCGTCATTTCACAAAAACAAAAGGCATTTTCTGGAAGACCTGTCTATAGGGTGAAAAATGTGTGCTGTCAATTGCTGACTGTGGTGGTTATTCATACTGTCATTACAATAGGAACCCGCTCTCAATCTCGTGAAGTACCCGATCACTTGGAAAACAATCTTTGATTAAGACAATTTAACTGGAAAACCAAAATGAACAATTTCAAACTATGTTGCTTTTTTATTTTAATATAAACACATCAATTTTTAATTTAACGATGCAACATTTTACTGATGATAAATTAATTAGGCTAAAAATGGCAAATATTTGTACTATACACTGCCTTAAGGGCGTCTTGACCGATCGATTGTTTGGATTAAATTTTATAAATTCTCAAAATGACCAGTAATTCAAAATCCATTCTTCTTAAGGTAAACAAGATCGCGTTTCGCTGTGGTTTAACAGGAATTTCGATAAATATGCCATTGGATTCTCATTTCCAAATTCCCGTGCTGCATAGCCTACCCGAAAATACCATAAAATAGATGGGATGAACTCGGCCGGTAAATATATAATTTATGGCAATGATGCCGACCGGCCAGTAATCTCACTGAACTGTGTAGATTCATGTCTTACTTATAGTCACTTATCTGGAGACCCCAGTGCAGATTTGACCAGGAAACCAACGAATCGACTGATTTCCCGCTTTGTGTCTTTATCTGGAAATATAAGAATTTAACATCTAAGATGAATGATTTCAACTAATAGGTACAATAAATTTGTGAAACAATTTTTTACACCATTACAAATGAAGATGTTCTGTCATAATATAAAGCTCTTGTTAATAACAGCATCAGAAAAGATATACGGTGTGTCCCTGGATAAGTAAAACGACTCTTACAAAATATAAAAAAAAATTGATTTAAATTTTTATTTATTGGGGTTGAGCCCAGCTTGGTTACAATTTATTTCTAACATGATTTTAGTTTTGAAAAATGATTTGAAAATTTTCAAATAAAATTATTTTACTGTAAAGTATCTTTTATGTGGCAAATACGACTAAAACTTCAAAACTGTTTAGAATCAACATCTAGGCGAAATACGAAATTTCAAAAATCATCGGCCAACCATAATTTTTAATTTTTTATGTTTATTTTACAAACCAAAGATATTTATTTTTAACAGTTTTTTTATTATGAGTTACACACTTAGATTATTACCTACTACTAGATAACTTTTTAACGTATCTGCTTCTAAAAAGCATTACTTGGCCGATGTTTGAAATTTAGTATAGGGGCCTAAACAATTTTTCTTAATAACTTTTTGTCGGATTTGCCACATAAAAAGCACTTTACAAAAAAATAGGTTTTTATGAAAATTTCCAAAACATAGATACTTAATTTTTCAACACTAACACTATGTTAGAAATTAGTCTTTAACCAAGTAAGGTTAAATTCCAAAAAATAAAAATTTCAATCGAGAATTTTTTATCTTTTACAAGAATCGTTTCACCTATCCGGGGACACACTGTATAAGCAATATGCAGTAAGTGCTTAATTTGAATTATTAGCTTAACAACATATACATAGATTAAATTTGAATTTGTTGTAAAACATGTTTATTAGCGGAATTCAGAATAAATTTTAAAAACAGAATGCACAATGATAATAAGTGATTACAAGTTATTATTGCAAATGAAGTAATTTGTAAATAACAACCACAATTCGTTACAATGCTCTCACCTAAATTGGATCGCTATTTATAACCAGTTATTAATAATAATTTGGTGGCAATTTTGTAAAGTGCCATCATCAATCTAATTCTCAGTTTAGCAAATCATTAGGTGTGTGTCTTTTTAAATGATAGAAGCCTGATAGATGGTAATAATTATATTATATTTAAATCATCTAATTTATTTAAAAACACTCAATATGTCACACACAGCTAATAATAATTTGTTACACACTATATTGTATAAAAACGAGTAATGTACGTTCTTGAAGTCGTATTATTACGTTTAAATCTAATAAAATTATGTCCTTAAATTGTGAGAGAACTAAGAAGATTTTGTAAAGGCTTTTAAGCTTTATGTAATAAGTTTTTCGGTACAATGTTTTTGCATTCCTCAAATTCTTATTTAATAGGGCAGCGCCAGCCTAAATTATAGCATCTACTGGTTAATTACGTTACAAATGCTAATGAGAAACCCGCAAATGTGACTCACAATCAAGCTACTGAAACTATATAACCATCATGTGCTGCGCAGTTGTCCCTAAACCCTACATAATCTAATTTAAAAACTGGTAGCAAATGGAGGGAAAAATTTGTTTACAATGGACACCGCAAAACCCTCCTCTAATCTGTATGGAGCTCTGGCTCTATTTTTATTACCTTAACTTTGTTAAATAAGTGTAACGTGATCAAGGTATTAATGCAAAAACTACAGGGTGTAATTTTATCTAGAATTCATCGGAATACGCAAGCAGTTCGTAAATGAGATCAGGGTTTTAACAAAGCTGGCAATTTTTCTTAAAGACAAAATTTTTCCCAAATGCATGATCAATTTTCGGTAACATTTTTACCCACTGTTATTTATGTCGGAGGTACTCCTTAATTTAATTTCTGTTACGTACTGAAATTCATTTAAGACGCACGGATTAAATTAGCTTTAGCGTGTAATTCGACTAAAACTTAAACAGTCACTTGCGTGGGTTTGTGAAAGTCACAATGAAATTCTAATGTTGTTAATTCCGACGGGGATCTACTAACCGTTAAATACAGATGCAAATTAATACGATTTCAATTGCTTTCTAAAGAAATCTTTACGTTTCCCATTAATAAGTTCTGGGCCTGAAGTGAATAAGATGTCGATGTAATGAACTTCGATGAATCGGCACACGTAATTTCAAGTAATCAACTCAATTCAGTCAATTAATGTCATTTAATTACTTCATTTACAAATAATAACAAACAATTTTAACATGTGAAGTTCCAATTGAAACATTGCATTAGGTTGATGGGTGTCGTACATAATCAATTTCAGTTATCGGAATTTTAGAGTGATATTTTATCAGAAATATCCACAAACATTTTATATCTATTATGAGATAAATCAGCTTCGACGATATATTTCTTTATCTGCAATAACAATTTGATTGTATTGGTACCGTGGAGAGCGATGTATCGAACTGCTTCCTCTAGTCGACGGTTTGCCAAGACTCACATTTACTAATGTTTCGCCACAATGAAAATAAATAGTGGCGGTTAAATCAACATTCTCTTGTCTCTTCGTTTATACTAACATTTATTTCACTGAGAGAAATGTCGTTGTAGGCAATTTATTTCATGGGTCACTTCATGCACTTCGGCTTCGAGCTTTTGAATTTTACAACTTTGTTGCAGTATTATCCCAAGACAACTCGTTTAGAGGAAATACACTTTCTCTATATCACCTACGAATAAATTAAATTAATGGATTTAAGCAAGTCTTATTATTGAAATTTTTTACTACAGCTCTTATTTGTAAGAAAGTCTTTTAGACTCCCCGACGGAGAACTTAAACAAATTTATACATTCTGAAGTATTAAAGAAATTAACCTAGTTTGAGATCTTTATTAGTTTGAGAGACTCTAAAGTTAAAGCGAATTCCCACAAGATGTTTGATTTGAAGGTA